TTCTACAGGAAAACTTTTAGGACGTCTGTTCTAGATTTTTTTTTTTACACAGGTGCACTTGATGTTTTGTTTTTGGCACTTAAAGCAGCACCTGCAGGGGTGCGCCTTTAAAATCCTTCCCAGCGCTGAGCTAACTTCCACCTTTTTTACACAAACGTGCAGCACTCCCACATTATATTCCTACTCTTTGTGCATTATTATAAACCTGAACGCACACGGCTTTTGGTGCACTTTGCCAACCGTGTATTTTTCTATACACAGAATCTTTTTGTAGAAAAAAGTTGAACAAAAAAAAAAGTAGAAAGAAGAAAATTTTGTTTCAGTCAGTCGGGAAGCGTCTGAAGAACCACAAAGCCGATCAGAGATCAGATGCTCATCAGCACCATGGCCACCTAAAGCTTTAAGTCTAGATGCGTCTGTGGTTGTGCCTCTTAGGCCTAGTCCACACATAGCCGGGGTTTTTTTAAACGAATATCCGCCCCTCCAAAAACTTGCATCCACACCACCTCGTTTTAAAAAGAACTCTGTCCACACGTACCCGGATAAATACGTTGTTAAGGACATGCCAGACCTGTAGGCGGCAGTACTTCCCCCGTTCTTAACCTCGTCCTTCGTCTGTGGTCTTCCGCAAGGAGCAGTAATTCCGCTTGCAAAAACAAACAAGCAAAAAGCGCTTGGACAATTGATAAAGCGAGCGCAGCTCTGAGGGCATCCATGCTGTCGGCTAGTGTAAACACAGGTCGCACACGTGATGTCAGCATTTTTTTGTCGCGGAAAGTGACGTTGCGGACCTTAAAACTCCGGTTTTGTCTGTCCACACGCAGACACCCAAAACGGAGAAAACGCAGATCTTCACTTTGGCCGGAGTTTTTAAAAAGATCCGTTTTCGTGTGGATGACAGGCCAAAACGTAGAACAATATCTACGTTTTGGCAGATCCCCGGCTACGTGTGGACAGGGCCTTAGATAAAGTTTCATTCAAACCATCAGATTCATGTTTGTAAGTCACGTGTTTAAAGGAAACGCCACAAAATCTACCAACGTGGAGGGAAGTGATGATCCTGATGACGCTTCTGAGACTGATCCCTTCATCAGCTGTTAGAAGCTACGACCCCAACATCCAAAAAAACGACTCGAATGAAGTTTTCTCATGTTTCTTGATTTTGTGGCATAAAAACTGAGTCGGGTATTTTTAAATCACAGTGAAAGACTTAAACCAATTTTTTTAATCTTCAGTAACTCTTGCCGCTCCTGAAAACACTGACTCAACAGTGCCTGTTGCTATGACGACGTGTACTTTTTAAACTATTAGGTTCTGGGAAAAGGAGCATCATGTTTCTAGCTTAATCTTCACTTAAAGCATTAATTCTCTTCGATTCACCACAGCAGCTGGAAGCAAGCGGGCTGTGGAGACGTTTTTACACTAGACGTTATTTTTAAGTGTTTTTCACCGACAAAGCTCTGACAAGTGTCCCAACGTGAAATGGGATGCACGTTTCTGTGAGTTCGCCAATAATCTATTAAAAGGTGCCTTTAAAAGGTTTAACCCACCAAGTTTGAAGCTGCACTAACAACGTGTCGACTCAGGTGTGCATTTTATGTCCTAAGATGAACATTTTTTACCAAAGTTTCCATGTTGTGGTTCTTTTCACCTAAAAGCCTCCAGAGATGATTCAGATCCCAGATTTACTCAGTCTGTAGTTTTTGTCAGAAGCAGCGGGATTTTGGAAATATTGTGCTAAAATGTGTGTCTTCTAACTTTCCTTTAACACTAACTTTAGCAGATAATGTTAGATTTACCTTCAGTGTGCCTCACGTCTGGTCTAGACAGCGTTTTGCATCCTCTGCTGCGTTTTAATTAGCTGTGATGATGTTGTCCTGCGTCCGTTTTTGTAACAATGGTTTAGCCGTTCTCTTTGATCGTGATTAAGACTGACATCTTTTTTTTATTTTTATTTAAGGGGAACAAAAACAAGGATGTTTTTGGCAAAAGTACGGTTGGTCTGCCCGCCTTTATGTGCCTAAACAGATCCCTCATCAGCACCACTCTGTTTCATTTCTGCTAAAGCAGAGCAACGGTAACGGGAACCCCCCCCCCCCACCCCCAGAAAACCATTCCGTCTCTTTTCCTTCTGGGAGAATAACTGTGCCTTTGCCACAAAGCTGCTGTTGCTTTTTCCCCTTCTCCAGCGCTCAGGGTGTGATTGTGTAGTGCAATAAAACAAAAATGCTTCACACCTTTTGTGTACGTGAGGAAGCATTTTGTGCCTGCACCTGCTCACAGATGAAGTTTCAAAAAGGATCCAGAAAACACGCCGTGTTCAGAATCAACACCCGCTCCATAAAAGCGTCATGTCCCTCCTCTCTCTGTTTTATTTTGAAAATGTCCACCTGGTGAATGTAACCTGTCCTCAATACTGTTCATCCTGTTTGTTAACTTCGCACTGTAAACATTCCAGTTCAGCCCAACAAACCACAACAGCTTTAGAAATCCCTCACTGGGTCAGTGTCCCTGTTAGTTCTGAGCATCTAAATTATACTAAATATATAAATATATGTATATCAACTGTATATGTGACGTTTTTTAAATAAAGAAAAACATAACCAGTAACAGCTGTGTCTTACTGTTCTAACTAGGGATGAGTGCCTTTGACATTTGAATAGATTCGGTACTAATTGCCGGTACCTAGGAATCGATACCGGTATTTAACGGTACCAATTTTAGATACTTTTGAGTGTTTAATATTTTAATTCTCTTTTACAATAAAATATATATATTTCTAAATTTATAACCATATTTGATAAATATCACGATAAATAACATACAACTGTTTGTATTTTAACATCGTCCTTGTAGTTTTATAAGCTGATAATTAAACTGAAGCAAACAACTTTACTGTGAACTAAATTTACTGTGTATCTTCATTCCTTTTGCCGTTCTTTTTCATTTGATTTTTCCTACTGGGAAATTAGAATTTCCGAGGAGAAAGCGAACGCACCATTAGCTGATAACAATGGTGGCAATTGAAGCTAACATATCAAGCTAACGTTATCTTAAACAGTTTATTTAAAACGATGATGTCTCACACTTAGATCGTTGTCGCTGGTTTCATCATCACCCGTCGCATTTGGTAGAGTGAAGCCAAACTTTAGAGCGCGTTCATGTTCTAGTCGGATATTCGAAGTTCCGAGGAGAAAGCGAACGCACCATTAGCGGAACGGAAGCTAATTATCAAGCTAACGTTGTCTTAAACGTTTTATTTACCTACCGGAGCAGATTAAGACGAGGATGTCTCACTTAGATTGTTGTCGCTGGTTTCATCATCACCCAGTTACCCATCACATTTAGTGAAGTGGACCCAAGCTTTAGCGTGCGTTCTTTCTACCATGCTGCTCTGTTTACGACTCGCTCGCAGCGACCGACGACATAACGCTCTTGCGCATGCGCAGCTGTCTAGGCAATTCTCGTTATGAAGGACGGGTACCGAAACGAGGCACCGTTTCAAATGACGTGAATCGGTGCTCAGTCGGTACCTTAAAAAGTACCGAATTTGGTACCCATCGCTAGTTCCAACCCAGTCAAACACACACACACACCATCCAGTTTTTAAAACTTTTTTATTGTTTTTAAAATTTTTTTTTGCTTATTTTTTAAATTATTTATATTATCTACAAAGTAAAAGTTTTAACTTAAAAGTTACATAAGGGTCAGGTGAGAAGTGGGATCCGATCACCCCAGCAGTTATAATCTCATAAATAACATCCTCCTGTCTTGGCTGCTGAACGTGAATTTTTTTTTTTGTTTGTTTCGAATTTTGCTTTTCACAGGAAGTTTCTGGTGGCGTGTCGGGTTTAGTTTGGTTAGAAACCTGTAGTCTGGAGACAAACGCAGCACATAGCAGCAGCAATAAACAGTAGGATTAATACTGTCTAAAAGTCGGAAGATTTAGTTTTTTATCCATAACAAGGTGCAGTCAGAATACAAGTTCCAGTTAAATCTTCAGTCTCACCGATCAGCAACACGCTTAACGTCTTACTGACTAAAGCTGCGACCCACAAGCCTGTGTGTGTGTGTGTGTGTGTGTGTGTGTGTGTGTGTGTGTGTGTGTGTGTGTGTAAGAAAGGCCTGAACAGAGGCAGCTTTGTCAGTTTAACTCGTTAAAACGTGTCACTGCATCAACCTGTTAACATTCACTTATTGCCTAGTCCGAGAGGGAGGGGGGCTGGGGGGAGGGGGCCTGATGTGAAGCATGTCGAATGAGAAGAGGGAGGGCTCCCACCCTTCCTCTTCATTGCCTGCTCATGAAGGCTCTGGCTGAGAAGCATGATGCAGAGCGGGTCCCTCGGCTCGCTGGCGCCCCCTACCTACAGCTGCTGCTGGTGATGAGGCTGCACTGCAGGGGGGGCGAAAGGAAATCAAGGCGTTCAGACAAATGTAAGAAAGCAACTTGTTTTTGGTTACAGTTCCTCTAAAACTGGTCAAATATTGAAAAATCCTCTCACCTTTTAAAGAGGAATCTAATTTCAGGGATGCAAAAATAGTTTGAGGGGAAATTAAAAAAAAACTAAAGGTGATTATTTAATTTTTAAAAATTAAATCAACTATGACCTTTAGGAAACTTTCAAAGCAAACAAGCCAATAAAGAATGACATCCGTCACCTCACCCCCCAGACTTCAGAGAGGATTCTCAAGTGGCTTTCAAAAAATAAAATGTCATTTCATCTTTGTTTGATGAACAAATCAATTTGTGTATCTTCCAAATGTGGTTAGCAGCCGTCTGCCAAGTGTTCGCTGCCATTTTTGTTTTTTACTCTTGTGGTAGAGGACTCGATTTGGAGAACACATGCTCTAGGGTTGTCACGGTGTGAAAATTTAACCTCACGGTTATTGTGACCAAAATTATCACGGTTTTCGGTATTATCGCAGTATTTTTTAAACGTGTTACATTTTCAGACAACTAAATAAACCCTGTATATCAGGAAAATATCGTCCTCAGTTTGTGTCAAAATTTTGCCTAAAATTAGTTATTTTGTAATTATGTTGTTTATTTGTTTACATTTTTCCCCTTTAGTCTTTAAATTACCAATATTTGCCCATAACTTCTTATTTTTTGTCTGTTTGATGTCATCATTTTAAAAATATTAGATCAGATGATACTCAGTACTCAAGTAGCCTTCTAATCAGATACTTTTTTTACCCTTACTTGAGTAATAAACCCTATATCAGGAAAATATTGTCCTCGGTTTGTGTTCCAGTGAGCTTTGCAGATGTGGGAAAATGTCATCAGGCAGTAATCATTGTTAAATTCATAATTATTCTCGGAGAGAGACCAACTCTTATCGGCCCCTGGGAGCCCCGTAACGCATAGCGTCATTTCAACATGGCGGTGTCCGCGACACGGTTTATATGCAGGTAGCGGCGCTGCGGCTGCTTTATATAGCGACTCGTTGCGTTCTCCCTCAATCCAAATCCTCGGATCACGCATTTTAGCTAAAACGCTAACGTTAACTTGCCTTGCGTTGACTGTAGGGTTGTGGGTGATGGTCACGCAGATGCGTCATGAGATTTGAAGCGTTGCTGCCTTTCACAGACACTTTTTCTGCACGTGCTGCAAACAGGATAGCCGTCTTCTATCAGCTGTCCCTCGGCATTCTTCAAATATCCAAAAGATGCCCGTACTTCCCACTTTGTCTTCTTTGAGGGATAATAAATGTCCTGAGCGCTGCCGTCTCCTCCTCTGGCCATTATTTCAGCTTTAGCTCCAAGAAAGTTTTGGTTGTAAACAACAAAGTGCGCATGTGCCGCCGGCAACTTCAGCAGATGATACGGTGGCTGGTAAGGGTCACCGCGCCTACACCGCAGCCACGGTAATCCACAGAGATAATATAGTATTTTAAAAACAAGACAGTTATTATTATTGTCAACTTTTTTACCAGGGTTTACCGCTACACCGGTTACCGTGACAACCCTAACATGCTCAGAAACGGCGTGCTGCAGGATTTTTAAAGAGCTGAACCAGACCGATGAGCTAATCACAACCTTTCTCAGAAGAAAAACAACCGGCGATGGTGGGAATAAAAACGTACCTTGTGGATGTGCCAGGTAGGAGAAGTGTGTGGTGGAGGAAACTGGGATGGGGTTGAGGGCAGCCTGGGGCATCGGTGGCTGCGGGCCCCCTGGAGGCCCCTGAGTGGCCATCAGCATCATCGGTGGGTGGGTGGGTGCTGGGTGGTGAGAGGGCACGATCCCGGACTGCATATGAGCCTGTGGGTTGGGTGGTCACAGATAAACCTAACTGAAAGGAGAAGTTCACATGGATCTAAAGATCAACTCCATCCTCAACCAACAACCCTGAAGATTCTCCAACCGTGTTTATGAGTCCACAGAATCCCTGCAATAATTCCCACTGCCTGTTCGGTCCTCTCCCTGCTGAAGCCTCCCGTTTCCTAAAACCTCTGGTAAACTCCTCAGACTAGCCGATATCTCGTCTTAATGACTGATCTATCACAAGCTGCAAAGAAGACTTCTACTGGAACCCCAAATACCCAGAGGACAGATACCAGCAGCCTTTCTGGACACGAAACATCAGTTTATACTGAATTATACCAGCCTAGTGGCCTAGTGGTAGCACGCCCGCCCTGGGCCTGGAAGATCGGGGTTCAAATCCCAGTCGGGTCATACCAAAGGCTTTAAAAGTGGGGCCCAATGCCGCCCTCACTCTGCTTTAAGGGGTTGGATTGCAAAAACTAAATATTTAATGATTAAACTATAATTACAACTAACACACATTACTGCTAAAATAGGAACAACTGAGCCTGTTACGACGTACCTGTTGCATGTGTGCCATGTGGCTGTGGTTGTAGCTGTGCTGCACCTGCGGGTGGAGGTAGACGGTCTGCTGAGCAGAGGGGAATGACGCCTGGGAGGACTGTGGGTTGGGCCCCGGCGTCATGGAGGGGGGCGTTGGGGCCAAGGCCGAGTACATCTGCTGCTGTGGGGGCTGGCTGGCTAGGTGCAAAGCTACAACAAACAACCGTGGTTACATCAGCTCCACAGCCACGAGGACAAGGTCAGGTCAGGACAATCACCTGCTGCTGCGGCCTGCGGGTGCTGAGGGTGCTGGACCGGGCTGGCAGCAGGGTGGCTAGGAGGACCCCCGTGCTGTTGTGGTCCACCTTGCTGGCCTTGGCCTGTGGGAGTGGCAGACGGCTGGGGGTGTTGAGGGTGGTGGTGTAAGGTGGCACTGGGGTGAGCGTACTGCTGAGGCATTGGGCCTGGTGACACTGGGGCACAAGAATCAGCATGCATGTTAGCATTAGCTGCAGGTTTTAGCTGGCTGCTAGCTGAAGGGCAGGTGGGCTCGCATACCATACATGGTGTGCGTCTGCTCTGGGTACTGTGTGGTGGAGGAGGAGACCAGACCGGGTTGGCCATGCGTGTGGGGGGCCATCATTCTGGCACTCCCCTGCATCACGGGACTGAACACGTGCTGCGCCTGGAGAACACACACAACCCGACGGGAACATTTGGGATGAGCCACTGATCAGGAAACAGCTGGAGAGACAGAGACCATCAGATGATGCCGGTGAATCCGACCTGAGACTGGTAGTGAGTCATCTGCTGAACCAGCGGCTGACTGGTGAACTGCTGCGGGCCGCAGGCGAAGTACTGGGCAGAGTAGGCTGGGTTGGGCGCTACGATGGGCGGCCCCGCCGCTGTTGCTGGGTGCATCATGGTGGGCGTCCCAGGAGGGTGGTGCTGGTCAGACCTCTGCTGGGGCATGTTGGGTACTAAAGAGTCCCATTGAGAGGTCTGATGAGTTAGATTTCTACTCAAAGCTTGAGCTGGTTAAAATAATTCTATATTCCAACGTCTGGGCACAGAAATACAGAATCACCTTCATTTATGAAACTAATCTTATTCATTTCACAAAGGAATGTTTTGTTCTAGAGCAGGGGTGTCAAACATTTTAGCTCAGGGGCCACATTGAGGGAAATCTAGTCCCAAGTGGGCCGGACCGGTAAATAAAAAAAAAACCTTCAGATTGTTTTCTTTGTTTTAATACAATCAATATAAAACAAGGCTGGAGCCTGAGGACAGTGTAGTACAAGTACAACCCCTGAAGCGTACTTAGAAATTTGAAATAAATAAATAAATAAAAAATAATTCCTTAGTGATTCAAAGAGCTTACAGATCACATGGCAAGATCAGTTTCATGCAGCACTTAAAAGTATATTTGACTCATTTTACTTTACATCTTTTAGCTTTCACCAGCACATCAATACAATCCTGAGAAGCGGCCAACTTCAGGATGTGATTCAAGTTCTTGTCTGAGCCTTGAGCGCAGCTTTGTTTTATTTATACTCGTTACAGAGAAAACTTGCTCACAAAGATAAGTTTATTTTCACTCTACATTGTAAAGTATGAAAATAAAGTTTTCACAACCATCTCGCGGGCCGGATTTAACCCGCTTGCGGGCCGGATCTGGCCCGCGGGCCGCATATTTGACACCCCTGTAGACTAAATGGGATCAGGAAAATTAACACAGATTTAAATGTATATCCTTGATGTTTACTCATTTCACTGAGTAGAAGAGAACGAGCGTTAGCGTCCCTGTCAACTAAATCCTGCACAGGAAGGAGATTTGATCTAGACATTCTGCTAAAAACTACAAAACCGATGTTCTTCATGGTGATGTTCTGAACTAAATGACAAAATGAATCATACGAATGAGTATTGTTCACTATCTAGATCAAAGGTAGCCTAGTGAACTAGACCAAATTCTTGCTTTGCAAAGTTTGGTCCAGGAACGCTCCACTGGAACCTCTGCAGCCCCAACAGCATTCTGGCTGGCCAATCACAGCTCTCTAGAGGGGTTTCAAACACATAAAGAGCTGTGATTGGTCCATAATGGTGGGCCAATCATAGTGCTCTATCTGCTTAGTGAACAAATCACAGAGCTTTATCCGCTTTGTGGGCCAATCAGGACACTCTATATGCCTGGTGGGTGGGATGATGCAACAGAGTGAAACAAGATGGCGACAGCTCGTTTGAAACGGCTTTTACATCAATGTTGGACATTAGAACTTGGGCTTCATTAGAATCAGGACCAGGTGGATGTATTTAAGTGTTTTTTTTTTTTTTTTTTTTTAGAAAAAATGACGCGTTTTCCCCTTCTTCAACTGCGGACCGCCTCATTTACCGATGGCTGTTGCGGTGAGTATGTCACATTCATTGTCCAGTAGCATGCGGAGATCATTTGAAAGACAACGGTAGAACCCGCCCCACAACCGAGAGCCGTCAACGGAGCGTTGCCAGACTAAATCATACATTTATTTAGTCTGGCTTGCCAGGCTAGAGCAAAGGTGCACAAAGAAAGAACGACACCCTGTGGTAGAGCCCTGCACGGGCCTAAAATCTGAGCCCGTGTCCGGCCCGGCCCGAGGGGGTGGAGCCCCAGCCCGACCCGGCCCGAAAAGGTTTTCAGGATTCTCTGGCCCGGCCCGAGCCCAAGCCCGACTTTTTTTAACCAACTAAATGAAAACAAAGTGCGTCAATCCTGACCAATGTGTTAAAAGATGTGCAGGATCCGAGCGTCGCAGAAGCGCATGCGGGAAGCTTCCCACTGAAGCGAGTGTTTTCCAAACCCGGTCTCTCAGAGAGACTTGTCACTTAGAAAATGTTCCCTGATTATGAAACTTTGGCTGAATAGCGCTTGTTCCTGTCTCCAATGTGCGACACATCCAGGAGCCGTCTGAGGAGAAGCCCAGAATCTCACATCCTCTTCAGCTCATGAGCGCATATGATTACGCACAAGCGTGACCCAACACGGTCTCACAGTAAGACTGGGTTGGAACTGTTCAGGTTTACGCAGACAATCTTCACATAGAATTGACTTACAGATATAAAATTAATTCAGTAAAATATAAAGCATTTTATTTAAATACCCATTCATTATTTTACAAGCACATCGGCAGATGGATGGAAGAGCCGCGGGTTGCCGATCCCTGCTCTAGTTCAAGATATCATTAAAATTCCAAAAGTGCTGAAAAGATTAAAAATGGGGCTTTCCGTGCATATACAATACATTACAGTATCCACCGGGATTTCCTGTCTTGAGCGCAACGAATCACAACACAGATTCAGAGACGTGCGAGTTTGTCATCCAAAATGCTCCGTTTTATAACTTTTGAATGGTTGATCAGATTCAAATAATTCCAACGGTTCCTAAAAGTACATAAAAGCAGCTTTCCAACGGTCTATAGCATGAAGCAATCAGAGTTAGAGAAAATATCGCTACGAGGGGAAATCCTGCTGTACAGCCTGATTGAAACGGAGCGCAGCACTGCTGTGAAAGCGGATAACCTATAAAATGACATGTTGAGGACGCAAACTCAATACATCTCTTTTATTGTGAGGTAATAATTTCTCCGAGTTTTGCGGTTGCGGGCGGGAGTAGACATGCACGCTGCAGGTGTGGGCGGGAGTAGACATGCACGCTGCAGGTGTGGGCGGGAGTAGACATGCACGCTGCAGGTGCGGGCGGGAGTAGACATGCACGCTGCAGGTGCGGGCGGGAGTAGACATGCACGCTGCAGGTGCGGGCGGGAGTAGACATGCACGCTGCAGGTGCGGGCGGGAGTAGACATGCACGCTGCAGGTGCGGGCGGGAGTAGACATGCACGCTGCAGGTGTGGGCGGGAGTAGACATGCACGCTGCAGGTGCGGGCGGGAGTAGACATGCACGCTGCAGGTGCGGGCGGGAGTAGACATGCACGCTGCAGGTGCGGGCGGGAGTAGACATGCACGCTGCAGGTGTGGGCGGGAGTAGACATGCACGCTGCAGGTGCGGGCGGGAGTGTAACACACACATTGCGGTTGCAGGCTGTAATGGTCAGAAATTCAGCGGGAGCGGAGCGGGATGAAGAAAACAGTCCCGCACAGGGCTCTACTGCTGCGTTTAAGTGTTTTAATTTTTTTAATGATTTCGAATAAAAATAAAGGCGCCCGGCCCGGCCCGTGTCCGAGGTAATTACACAGTCGTTGGCCCGAAGCCCGGCCCGAGGGCCGTCGGGCCGGGCCGACCCGAGGGCCTAGGGCTTCAGTGCAGGGCTCTACCCTGTGGTGAACCGTGGGTACTGCAGGCCTTGTATAAAAACAAAGAAATCCACTCTTGGGCAAATCTAAACATGAGGCTTTGGTCATGTTATAGGTTTATTATCATCTAAAGACAGTAAAACAGAAATATAAAGCAGACAGAAAACAAACAGCAGGAAAGGTCAAGTGTGATTACTCTCACCTTTACCCGGTCTGTAGGGTTTAGACTGGCTGACCGTCATATGAGGCATTTGAACCTGGTACACAGGAGACTGGAGGGAATGGGGGGTGGGGGGGTGAGTGAGAGTGGCAATCGGAGAAAAACAATTTAAACTCAATCTTAACATCAAATTAATCTGAACTTAAAAAGAGTAATCCCCATCCTGCTGCATGAAGGCTACTCAGCTTAGCTCAGTGACATGATCGGGTGTACATCTTACCTGGGGCCACATGCAGTTTATAGCTGGGTCTGATGATAACCGTGACACGTTCCTGTTTATTAACTTTATACAACATGCAATCCTATCAGAAAATATAGAGCAGGTGGGGAAAATATTCAAACAAAAGCTTCTACACCCTTCGGCTAACTTGTTCGGAAAACAGAAACCAACAGAAATAAGATGTTATGAGTCCATTTGTGGGTTTTAAATGAATTGCAATAAGAAGTTGGCAAACCAACATCTGATGGCATTAATTCAACAAGCAAGCAAAACATCTCAATGTTGATTGGGCTTAAAAATGAAAAGAAATGAGGATCAAAAAAGGTAGAAATCTTAAAAAATGTCACAAACCTTCCATATTATGCTTTTCTAATGGAGCAAGAGAGAGAGGAGGGGGAGAAAAGGGAAGAAGAACCACTCTTTAGTTGTTATGGTTTAAACGTGTCTGATGTTGGATCACCAAGTGTTTCTTAAAGCAACACAGGATATAAACAAATGCATAAACACATGAAAACAGATTTACCGTATTTTCCACACCATAAGGCACTATTAAAAACCTTTCATCTTCCCCTGAACCGGCAGTGCGCCTTTTAATACATGCATTAAGGTACTTCTGGCCCAGCGTGGTACCCACGCTCCAGCCGTGCCTGCATGTAAAAATGGGACTTTTGTTTGTTAAACAGCCTGATTGTTCATTCTTGCGGCTTAAAGCACCTGTGCAAAAAATGACACTGACAATTACGAAATTGTTATTTTTATTGGGAATGAGAGGAATAAAGTTTGATTTTGATCCTTCGTTTGGCTTTTTGTACCAATTATGCACTACTAGGTGGAGTAAGAGGTCTCTGCTCGGCTCCCGGGTCATTACAGCCACACACGATGCTTTATCTCCAGCCGACTCGGCTCCTCTGTCCTGCAGCGGTAAGAGGGGCTTAGCGCGGCGTTCACTCAGTCATGCTGTTACCAGAGTTTAAATCTTCATTCTTGCTGCTAAAAGCATTAAATTGGGACTAAATGTTACTTTAATAATGAGAAATTTATTTTTTAGTATAGAAAATGAGTGGAGTAACGTTTGACTTTGACCTAATTGCCCAATTTGCCTTAATTGTGCCGACCGGGACGCTTGTTTGCTTTGCTGGGTGCGTGTTTTGATCCAGTGAGCCTTGTGTGCGGACCAAACCTTTAACTAGGACGCTGATTGGCTGTGCGCCGTATAATCAGGTGAGCCTTATGATGCGGAAAATACATTAATTAAAACCAGTTCCTAAAAAAAAGAAGTTAAGTTTTTTATGACGGCACAAAAATCCAACATTATCCCCTTTTTCTATAAAACAGAAGCTTTGGATCCTTTTTCTCTCTGGAAAAATAGAACATTTCCTAGAAATTCCTTAAAAACCAAACAAACTGATAAACATGGGTGCATAATATTTTAGTATACATTAGTGGTGATTAGTTTTCTTTTTAGTGCTAATATGAGTAGGGATGTCCGATATTGGCATTAGAATATAGAATATCAGAAAATATCGGTATTTACGTCATTAATGACACAACCTTACACATCAAACACTTCTCTCACTCAAAATGTCACATTGTGACAGATCCAAGGTGTTGAAGGCATTTGGGTTTCTTTGGCACAACTTGTGAAGAAGGAATCTGCCCTGTGTGTGTGAGCGCTGTCCTCACAACACATAGCTACGTGTAGCTAGCCAGCAAGCTAGCAAGCAAACGACGAAAACAAAAGCAAGAATCTTCACCCAAGGATTTGCTTTTTTGTAACTGAAGATCAAAATATTTTATCATCATAACTGCAATATACATTACTGACTAGCACACACACCTTAAGTCATGCTAGGCAATTAGCCTAGCTTAGCATGTGTACACCGTTTACATTGTATCAACGAAATAACTTTAACACACGTCCAAACATTCCCTAAACCCATCAGTGGTTACAAAGATGATGATTTTCCGAGGCGCTAACGTGTAAAGTACATTTAGCGTGTCCGTTAGCCGCCGATTCGCTCGTTTTAGCTTAAATCTAAACAACGCAAGCAGAGCAAAACACCTCACAGATAGGTCTGAGGTGAGAACGCTCACTGTCGCGGTTCTGCACAGATGATATAACAAAGATTGTAACAGAGGTGTCTGACGTTGACCTGTTTTTAATGGGCCTGTGAGACGCTATTTTACATCTTCCACAAACAAGGGAGGCACGACTTATGATTAAATATTACCGTTTGCACTACTGAGACGGCGTTTTTTACGTAATATGCCATTTTCATGACCCGTCCCCTTCAACCCAGAAACAAGACGCTTGGATCCGATCAAAGCCCGCCTCCCCCGTGTGAATTCCACAATATTACACAGCTGCAGACCCGGACAGATTCATGCTTGCGGGCAGAATTAAGCACATTTTGCATGTTTAAAATTGAAGTTTGCATGATAGATGTGATGTTATCAGAAATTAAGAGTTTGACTAAATTAGAGGCTGACCAATATATCGGCCGGCTGATATATCGGGCCGATATATTCCATTTTTTTCTTTATCGGCCGAAATTATTTTTAGAAGCCGATAATTTTTTTTTTTTGAAAGTCGGGTCTTTTTTCATTGTTTCCACCTAAGGGAATATTCCACCTCTAAGATAACTTTCATCCATTAGATTTCACAGAGTTAGAGAAGTGAGAAAATGGATTTTGTAGTCAACAAGCTGTTATTCTCCTGATCTGGAAGCAGTAAGTTTTGCTTTAGCTTAACATAAAACAATGCAAGTAAAAGGAAGGTTCTAGCATATACCTTCCTTGATGTGACTAAGAGTTTTGACTTATTTAATTTATATTGCACACAGTGAGTGTTCAGTTGTCTTTCACAATCAATGTGTTGCTTAAACGTGTTTGTATATATATATAGATATATCTATATATATAGATATAGATATATCTATATATAGATATAGATATATCTATATCTATATATATAGAAATATAGATATATATAGATATAGATATATCTACCGTAAATCCTCTAATACAGGCCCGGGCCTGTATTTGACTCAAGCTCATCAAGCTCCAGGCCTTTATTGGAAGGAGGGCCAATATTAGAGGCAGGCCTCTATTTCTATTTGAGCAAAATGAACTGATGGTTCGCTGGAGTTTTTGACAATTAAAAGTGTGCCCACATTTTCAAAGTTAAACACATTTCTTTTAACAACGGTAGTTTCTGCTTCAGCCCTCTCCCCCCTCCCCCTGCGCAGCAGCCACAAACTCACTGATGCGCCTGCAGCCTCTTGGAGTTCCTGCTGCTCTAAACATTAAAATAATTATTTCATTTTCTGTTCCTCACTTCTGATGACCTTCAATTGTGTCTGTTTGTTGCAACAGCAGGTACAAAAACTAACTTGTTTTTATTTGACTATTTTTCTGTCCTGTCTGTTTATTATCTTCCTGCATCTCCTCTCAATCCTAAAAAAACTGCTACCTGGGTTCATATATATTCACCTTATGAATTACCTTTGAACTGCAGTTCTAAAAGATCTACCGACCGCAAAAACAGCGGAGCGCTCGCTGTTTGGCGGCCGTATCAGTGATCAGTGCGTCGGAGGACAAGGTGATGCGCGCAGCGCCCCACTCCACAGCATGCAGCGAAACACATCAGGCGCAAATAAAAGACAGAAAACATTAAAGGAAATGAACTGACATGAACGATCGCGTGTTAAATTTGTTTTTGAGGTGGCGACACCTGATTGTTACTGTGGCCGTGCTCAGGAGGCAGATCTACCAACCGCGAAAACAGCTGAGCGCTCCCTGCTGTGATCTGTGCGTCGGAGGACAAGTTGATGCGCCCCGCTCCACAGCAGCGATACACATCAGGCGCAAATAAAAGACAGAAAACATTAAAGGAAATGAACCGACATGAACGATCGCGTGTCAGTACCTACTGTCTGGCACTTGAGTTTTACCCCCAAAAAGAGAATGTGATCATACGATAATTCAATAGGGAGCGTGGTTTCACAGACGCGGAAGTGATAGCGTCGGTGATCTAGGAAACCCCCGAGCGTTCGAGCGTCAACGAAGTGACACGGAAATGCCGGGCTTTCCAGAAGTAAGTAAGATAACTTACTATGAGCTGATAGTTCGTTGGATTGATCGGTAGGTTGGAAACTCTGATCGTGAATCTGAAGAAACGATGACTGAGTGGTGAGCTGGAAAGGCGACTTCCGTTTATAGCCGCGGTTTGTGACGTAGGTGCGACGTGGAGGGAATCCACGCGAGGGGCATGCTGGGAGTCCCTACTACGGATTTTCACCTATCGCGGCCAGGTCTGGAACGCATCTACCGCGGAGGGATTGCTGTAGTTCATACACCCCCTACTGCTGCTCCCCAGAGTGTTCTGCAGCATAATCAGCACGTTCTCTTTGAACTTGATAGTGTAATGACCTGGCTGGGGTTGTAAGCCAGGTGCATTCTGGGTATTGTGTTATATGTGTTTCCTATCGTTCTGCTAGTTCCTTTGTGCTGATTTGCGTGTTGTGTGAGTGTTATGTAAGCCACAGGGAAGGTGATGAGTGTTCTGTGGAGCGGGTTGAATTAGCATGGTTAACTGACACCGTGACTCTGTGTGGTAGGAGCGTGATAGAGGATCGTGTCTGTAGCGTTACAAAGCGTTGAAGAAAAGGCCTAAAAAAGGTCTGCGTGAACTTCTACAGGGTATATACAGCAATCCTTAAGTAAAATTTACTACTTTTTAATACTTTTTTTTACTACCTTCAGATTTTTTTTAAAACCATCACAACACTAAATTGCAAGTGTTAATCAGCGACCTATTTACACATATTTTAACATATATAACATACAAAATGAATAGACTTAGAGACTCACTGATGTTGACAACGTATTGCACATATTTATTTTACTTAGAAAATAAGCCAGGCACTTCTGTTCAGCGGTTCAGACAGTTGACCACGAGGCCTGAAATGATGCACAACGACCACTAAATATGACGTCATCATTATGTGACCGGATATGCTAAAGTAGGGCTGCTCGATTATGGCAAAAACAATAATCACGATTATTGTGACTGAAATTGAGATCTCGATTATTTAAGACGATTTTTCAATTTATGTAGATTTTTATTTTTTTATTTTTATTCAGTCATAAAACTGCTCAGGGCACAATCAGGGCAAAAATAAACAAGAAACAAGATGATCACTAAAATAACTCCTGATTCCCAGTATAAAAAGACCAATATACTTATAGCTCATAGTCTATGACCCAAGGGCTATAGACCTTGGTTTAACTCATTTAAGTCTAACCAGTACAGACCCAAATACCAATATCTTGCAAATACTGACAGCAAGAATTATACAGTGGCATTTATAACAAATACATGCAAATTGCTGTTCACTAAATGTTGCATAGCATTTATTGAGTCATGTCAAGGTACTGTAGGAGAGTGCACTAGCACCATGTCCTCAGATAGATTAGTTATTATTTATCAGCGTGAGGAACTTATTTCTACCTTATTTATAAACTATTTATTTACAGGTCCATCAGTTAATGTAATAATTGTCCCAACCACAGCTGCACCCCCACCCCCCAACCCGGTCTCACAGCGATCAGGGGCACGCTGCACGTGTTTAGCGCGCCGCACGCGCACATTTAGCCGTTTTTAGCGGCTCAGGAGTCCGCAGGTGCCATGTGTGTCACTCACTCTGGTTACTCCAACAGAGAGCCGGCTCCGAGAGCTGTCTTTAGCGATCGACACGTCACTACATCATTCCCTTTCCTAATGTCCTGAAGAACGGTCCGGAGTGCAGGCGGAGTGTTTAGCTAACATGCAGGAAATGTCGACGACAGCTATCCAGAAAGTAGCTAAGGGTTACCAGAGATGTTTCTGAGGTGTTCGCTAGGTACTTTTAACATTTAAAAAGTCAAGAAGCGGGTCTGAGAAGCTGCTAGAAATAGCGTCAAAGTCGCTAAGTTAACTTGGCAACACTGGGAGGAGCGCTTCATTTGCAACTCAAGGCAGCGCAAGTGGGAGGAGCAAATAATCGGCTTGTTTTGTTTTTATAATCGTTCAAAACATTTCATTCGGAATATATTTCTATGTCGATGTTCAGAATACGACATCTGATAAGTCTGAAAAATAATACCTAATTTGGAAAAAATAATACCTCTGAGACCAAATGTAACACTTTTAATGGCCTTAAATTTGACTATTTTTATTTATCACTTTTTAATACTTTTTAAAACCCCGCGGACACCCTGTTCTACTGCCTTCTGCTGGTTGATTTGGGGACTGTAATGCTGCCGCTGAGACGCTCGTACTTGCTTGTTACCACATGCCACCCGGCCACAATAAGAGACCGGCCATTATTTACCTCCGCTGACTCAGACACCGGCCAGAATTGGAGACCCGGCCTTTAATTGAATACCGGCCTGTATTAGAGGATTTACGGTATATATAGATATATATGTAGATATAGATATTAGATAGATATATATATATATATATTTCTATATAGATATTTCTATAGATATATATATATAAACCGGTTGTTGGGGAAAAAGCCAAAAAGTCGATATTGAACATCCCTACTTACGAGCTTTGACTGAAGGGAGCATGTCCATGCAACACATTTAAAGCTGCAGGTGTGCTTCTCACCTGGACTCCGGGGCTCACGGGGGTCAGCGGGTACATCTGAGGGAAGCAGACGGTTTGACCGTAAACAGCTTGAGGTTGCTGGACCACGATGGAGGGGCTGGGCTGGCCCTGAGGCCGAGGAGGCGTAGGGGTGCTGGCTGGTTTCGGCTGATGAAGTCGATCACACACACACACACACACGTTTTTAATGCCTTTGATAACAATCTAAGATTATTTTTCATTGTACTATGCTGCACACTGACCTGGGTGTTAAACCTGGGTTTGAACTCGTTAGCGTTTGGGTTCAGGGTTGATTTTCTTACTTGACTGCAGAGGGTGAACATTTTAACGATCGTTCACACGTTCACTTTTAAACCTTTGAATTAAAAAACAGTTAAAAACCAAAACCACTGCAGAACATCACTTACTCTTGTACCGCCTCCTTTTTCTCCTCCTTCTCTTCATGCTTGGGTCCACTGAACGCAGACACGGCCGTAGTTTGGACCCCCTGCGAGGTCACATCTAGCCCCGCCCTCTTCTGGTCCGGAGCTGAAGGAGATGGGGACAGAGCAGCGGGACTGCCAGGCTTACTGGTGTTTGTGTTGGTACTGGGAGGAGCAGGAGCAGCACCGGGGGGGCCAGCAGGAAGAACTACGTAGTTTTCAGAGCTGTCCCGTCCCGCTGCGGAGCCTTTGCCCAGGGAAAGGTCTTTTGGCTTGTCTGCTGGGTCTCTTTGAGACTTTGTCATTATCGGCTCAAAAGCAGCTTCTGGATTTGAACTGGGCTGCAACTGGGAGGACGACACACACAACAACTGAGAATCCACTAATTATACCCACCTTAGCCCATTTAACAGAGATACTTACTCTAAAGTCTTCACTGAATTTCTTCAAGTTATCTATTTGTTTTCTGTGGTCTGCTGCCATAGGAGGAGGTCCTGCAAGCAAAGAAAAGGGCCTGAGGAGTGGAAATGGACGACGGCTGCCCCAATCCGCCCTAAAACTTCACCTTTAAAACTAAAACTTGCAGTTTTTCCTGTACCTTTACAGACCGATCTGGTAATACTAGGCGAGTTGTCCACGGGCTTCGTGCTCTCGTTTGCTGAGGGGGACGATTGTCTCGTTTCTTGGACACGACATTCTTTAGCTACATCAGAGATGAGAAGTAGGTGCTCAATGAAAACCTAAAGCACCTGAACACAATTCTAGGATAAAATTCTACGCATCATAGTTGGTGCATCACATTTCCTCACCGTCTCCTGATGGAGGGGCGACCATGTTAGGGGCGGGGCTAGCAGCAGTGGGAGAAGAAGCCGATATCAGCGTGACAGTTTCCACAGGAGCCGTTCCCGTCTGGGAAGAGCCGGGTGAGGCTCCGCTCAGACTGCTCTGTCGCGGGGAGCGAGGTCTGTGAGCTGAGGGGCCAAAGAGGAGAAAGGTTTACTCCTTCATCTTGGAACGCTTTTCTGTGAGCTGAAGATTATTACAGAGAACTAAATTTTAATCGACCTCCACTGACTACTGATGACCAAGTCCCTCCAGAGGAGCTGCTCCTGGTGGACGGAGCTGCTGAAACGTCACCAGCTGGATTATGAGGAACCAGATCCACTCCAGGGTGGACGCCACTAATTCTCGAGGGTGGGACTCTGTGAGCACGAGGTGTCCGCTGGGACTTTGGAGACATCCTGGGAGGACCTGTAGGTGAGTGGCGGCAGGTTAGTCGCACAGCCTCATCACATCCGGCCGGGGAAGGCTTCAAAACAACTACAACCCAGGCGTGAATGCCACATCAAACAGAGGTTACATGCATGTTAGTGGGGAGCCGATGACCCCGAGATGAGATCAAACCCCAGAGTACACCAAGACTGTAATAAGAATGCTGTTAGGCAGCGAGCACGTAACAAACATTAAAAAAGAACCACATAAAGCTTGGTTTATGCTTGACGCATTCACTTTCCGCTTGGTGATGCGGCTCGCGGATGGAACGCGCTTCACAACTTGCAGCGTTTACGGTTCATGCGGCTTGTCTCTGCGGTGAGCCAATATTCTCTCAAACTGTAGGGGGCAGCATGGAGCTCTACAGCATGCATCCAACACTACACCATAGTAGAAGTAAAAATGACTGTTTACAACATGGCATTCCAGCATTTTTTAGCAGTGTCCTCGTCTTTACCGACAGTGCGAGCTATTTCTCTCCAAGAATTATTAACAACATGTTGATCACGGTGATCTCTGAGAGCTGAATCATACAAATGTCTGTATTTACGAACCTCTGCCATACTGGTTCTTGCCAGTCCGCCATGTTTTTCCGCGTCCGACCGTCCGTGTGGTTAGAAAATTTCCTAGGTGCGCGTTGCGGAAAGTTTGGGCCGTGCGGAGGCGCGGTGGAGGGGCGTAGTTGTTAAAATGAGGCAATTTCGCCGTGCGAACCTCGCGGACGCGTCAAGCATAGACCAAGCTTTACTGATGATTGTTGTAAAAAGTCAAACTTTATGCTAAACGGTCGTTTCTGTTGCAGAGGCTCAGAGGCAGACAGCACAGCACACCTTGGTGAACCCACATGCCAGGGTGAAATTGCCAGAACCGCCGACAAAAGGATCAGCTTTGTGCAAAGCCAATTTCTCAACATTCCCATTTGAATAGAAAATTCCAAATCTGACCCCAAGTCAGGCAGAAAAAAAGCAATTTCACCTATTTTTGATGCTCCACACTAGACCTGTGCAAATTCATTCTTGGAAGCCGTTTGTTTTTAATCTTCTAGCAGCTCTGACAATTTAGCATCAATATAAACGTGAAAGCCTCCACGTTGGATGCTTTTGCCCAGGTCTGCGCCGTCTGTGTGGCTACCTTCTGAAGACATGCGCTTAGGCAGATTGGAGGCTGGCGACGTGGGCCCATGGTGAGAAAAGGAGGATGAGGAGGAGGGATAGGAGGGATGGGATGAATGAGAAGGAGGCCTGGAGGGTCGAGAGGGGGGTCTGGAGGGCGGCCTGGTGGGCGTGGTTGCCCGAGGAGGCAGGGAGGAGGGGCCAGACTGGTAACGAGAGGGGGGGCGAGAAGAAGGAGACGGACAGGGTGAGGGCCAATGGGATGAACCTAAAAGAGGCAAGGACACATGATCAAGGGCAATAAACCAAAGAAGAAGGAGGGCAGTTATTAAATATGAGAGGAGGGAAATAAAGACAAACACGAGGATGATCTGATCGACACGGAAGAAACATCAAGAAAAAAGAATATAAACATGCCAGTTAATATTTAATCACATCAGCTTTACTTTGTTTTCACCATGAAACTCTTGCCAAGAGAAAAAGCACTGCTAAATAAAGCCCCAGCAGCGGTTACACCCACCTCCGTTGACCACCCTCTGATCTGCCCCGGAGCTGGGACTGTAGTCATGAGGTCCTGGTCGAGGAGTCGAGACTCCGGCTGAGTTCTGAGCCAGGCGAGGGGAATTCTGTCGCCCTGGTCCCCACGACATGGCATCCCTGTTCCTCTGACCCGGGGGAATGTACTTGTTCTCTCTACGACACAAACGTACAGATCTATTTTAAACAGGAGAATCTTGGAGAAGCATGAAAATGAAAGACGGAAATAAAACAAACGAACTGAAATGTGAACTCTGCAGCCGACTGACCCAATAAACACACTTTCAGCCTAAAATACTGCATTTGTAACGTGATCTCACCTGCTGAGTGTGTGAGTCTCCCTCTCCCCTCGCACCACCGCCGTGTATTTCTCCTCCTCGGTGCGTTCATCGTTCTCCAAGGCGACGCGGGCCTTGTACGTGGCGCTGGCCTCGATCTCCTCTGCCAGCTGGGCGGCGCGAGCTTCCCTCTTAAGGAACTCCTCGGAGTCGTCGCGCTCCAGCGGGACTCTGGTGGAGGAAATAAGAGGTATGGTCTGAGTGAACAGCCTTTAAAAACAGGATTTTAATGCCGTGTAAAATAATGATTAAGAAAAGCCACGCGGAAGCTTACGTGTACGTAGAGAGGCTGCTGTCATACGTAGACAAGACGCCATATTTCTCCTCGTTGTATTTGAACATGTCGTTGGGATCCCATCCGTTAGACTGACTCAGACAGAAAAATGAACCATCAGCGCTCTTAAACACTTGACAGCTACTGCTTAGTGTTGCTACACGTTAGGCAATTGTCTCACCACATCTGTATCTAGAGACTCCAGGCTGTCAGAGTTGTGGGTTTCTCCTCCATCCCACGGCTCCAGGTCTTTCTCTTTGTGTTCACCGTTAATTCTACCGCTCACTGATGCGTCTGTGAAGTTGTCTACAACACAAGACAGATGTCTGGGTGTACTACATTAGGGGTGGGAACAAATGAGAACCACCATGATACAGGAAACAATCCATTCAAAACAAATTTCAGCTCACTTTGTTCCGGTAACACGGGATGTCTGTCTGCACTGCAACTTAATTTACACAGGATCGCTATGGCAACGACTTGAGGAGCCGCATGTATGAAAACCAAGTTGATGACGATCCACGCTTCCAGCTTGCTCGCTTTAGAAATGTTTAAAATACCTTTGCTTGACAAATTGAATCATAACAAGCAGACTCCAGGATTACCTCAAATGATATTTGAAAGGAAAGCTCATCTCCAGAGTCGCGTCTGATCTCAGATCAGCTACAGATGAACTGTTAGCCTAAAGCGAACCAGCCACTGGAGATCCTGCACCCCCAGGATAAAACAATAAAACGTGCGTTTAAAGACAAAAGTTAAGCAACTGTAGCTTGGTAGCTCAAACAGGGCTAACAGACGTGGTTCGTATTCGGAGAGACTGCTGGCACACTTTGTGAATACAGTTTAAGGACATTGTGCAGAACATATTTAGAAATGAGATGTGAGGAAAGCAGATGCGCGTTTAGAAATATCAAGCATCTAGAGCAGTGGTTCCCAACCTTTTTCCCAAGGGACCCGTTTTTTACCAGTAAAATTTTTGATGACCCCCTCCCATTCTCTCTTCCAGTACAAACATTATTAAGAAATGATAAAACTGTTCAAGCACATTTTAATATGCTTTGATTCAATAGATAACAGTAATAGTAGGCTCCAGTACAGAACAAAGTCATTAACAAAACCAAACAGAGCATAATGTGCTTAACAGTTTGTATTACTTTTCTGAACACATTGTTTCTTGTAAACACGGATAAATCAATCATTCCTTTCAATAAACGTTTGACACATAAAAAATACACTGAGCAAAATGTACTTAAATGTGTATATTACTGTTTATACTAGATTATTTACTGTAAAGGCTGTGATTAATCAACCAGTCCTATCTTTAATGAAATTTTGACACTTGAAAATAAAACAGTGAGCTGAGCAAAATGTTCTTAAAATTGTGTTACTTTTTCTGTACTAATTATTTCCTGTCTTAATATCAGTAAACTTTTCACTCATGAAAAAAAAAATGTGAGCACAATGTAGGCTATAAACAAGTAATAAATGAAGTTTTAACCCCTTAAAGTGGAGAGGTCCTGGCGACCCACTGAGAGGCTTTGGCGCCCCCTTGTGGGGGTCGGGACCCCCAGGTTAGGAACCACTGATCTAGAAAATGTGCCACTTAAATTAAACCTTAGCTAAAATGTAGCTTCTGTTTTTAAACATTTCCACCAAACACCTTTTGAACCTGAGCTCTGGACTAGCTTAGATGTGAGATGAAGTGCTGCACGATTGTGATGTTTCAGAAAAGATAAAAATAACCTTACCTGTGTCAGAAGAGACTGGACCGTAGGGGAGAAGAGAGAGACGACAGGCATGTTAGTATCATTCTATCGGATTCTGACACACATGCATGCTGCTGATCTATAGGGAGCTTTAGTCACGCCCATCTACTTCTGGACCGTGGGTCCCCGGAAGATTGAAAAAATGAATGCAAGTCAACGGGGCTAAAAACGCCATTATCTAATTTCACCTGTTATGAGCCATGGATTTCACATATGATGTCCATGAATTTTGATACCAAGAACGCGCTTATTTTCGAACGGGTAAACGCTATTTTAGGTTGTGTGTGAAAACAAGTCCAGGACTACAAATGCGCTTCTCGAAAGTGACGTCATTGAACCAGACACGGAGAAAAAAACTGAAGGAAAATGGCTGTAAGTTCAGCAAACTTCAAATCCTTCCTTCAGGAGAAAAGAACCACCGAAAATCAGGCCATGTGGTAAGTAGCAGCTACGCTAGGGGAGAGGAGATTCTGTGGTGACGTCACAAATGCGACGTGCCGATGTCTGATTTGTAGTCATACTAATTACGAACGCTTACAAGCTGATAAATCTCAAAGTATTTGACCGGCGTGGTAAAACACACATCATTACTTTTCATTTACATAGAAGTACAACCTATGTGCGATCCAGGATGTAAGGCAAAGTGAATCAGAAAATAGCTCTTTTAGTCCCGTTGACTTGAATTCTTTTTTCGTTGTTCCGGGGACCCATGAGCCGACCGGAAAGGGCGGAAACTTAGGCTCCCTATTGGGTCAAAGCAGAAACCTGGAGTTTTTTCCCCAGAGGGCACCATCTACAGGTGGAAAGCATGTACTGCACCTCAAACCCCTCTCCCTACTTCCGTGATTATGGCAGAAAGCAGCGCCTCTCGAATGTGAACCTCTAGCCAGGCATCAGGGCTACAACACATCGTTTTACAATTATCATTCTGACTTATTGCTGTTTATTAATAAATAAAAAAATTTATACACATTCATGACATACCTGTCCATAAGAAATGCGGCCAACTGCATCAGCCTAGGTACGTCAGCTCTGTGATTGACATCTGTGCTTAAGCAGATGTCTAACACCATTGGCTAAGGCTGAATGGAGTCCAATTCAAATTGCATGGGAGTCTATGGGGCAGGGGGAGGGCTTCGCAAATAAAAATAGATGTATTGCTGTCATTATTTCACAGAACGGGGTTAGACGATCACTTTTACTGATTACTAAAGAAATAAAGAAACCCAAAATAATTCATAATGCCTGAAAAGGGGAAAATTCCAGATTTCTGCTTTAACCCTCCCACTGTCTTTATGGGTGACCCCGCGAGGAAAGTTGACCATTGAGCGGGGTTGATGGTTTATCCCTTGAGGTCCACGTGCCACGTGGAGTGTCTGAGTGACATTTAATTCACCCTGTGAATCCTGGAGGGCTGGTGTCCCTGGTTTCTCTGCTCCAACACACTTGATTCAGTGGTTGAATCACCTGTGCAGCAGCTAATTACCTGCCGATTGGAATCACGCGTGTTGAAACAGAGTTAAAATTCAAACCTGCTGGATATCGGCCCTCCAGGGTCAGAATTTAATACCGCTGCTGTAAGGGGTCATTTTAGCACATTCTGGCTAAAGAAAGTGATATAAAAATATGAAAAAGTTGCTAAATATCCCTTTACACTTCACTTGTGCACTTTTAGATTGAAAACTCTTCCACAAAGTCACCGTATGCTGGTTTTTAAGGAGATTTAGAATCATCTAAATGACAACTCAAGATGTAGACTTGTTTATGAAGTGTCCTTAGTTTACTAGACCAGTCAACTACATTAACCTGGACTTGAATGACTGACCATTTAAAGCAGACACACAAGATTTAACTCCGTAATTTAAGTCATTAACTCATTAATGATCTGCTGTTACTGTTAGGTTTAGATATAATATCACAAAAATACCTTTTCTGGCAAAATTCAGGTCCACATCTTTGAAGGTCACCACCACAACATCAGAGGTCTTAAAAATGATGCTTTCTACAATATCTTCTTTCCTGGGGGCTAAACTCATCTCGGGGCTCTTTCTGTGGGCTGCATCCAACACCAGGTCACACTGCAGACGACAAACACATTAAAGCTCAACGAAGATGATTGCAAAAACGTAAACTACAAATGGAAACCATGAGAAAATACAGAGGAATCCGTAGTGTCCATTTGTAGAACTGAAAGCAAAACACGTCACCTCTCTGTGCTTTGTCTTTTTATCATCTCAATCCAACAGCTGAAATGTTACCCCAGCGTCTAGAGGAGTGATTCGTCACTAAAATAAACTAATCAGGTGTGTTTATGATCTAAAACATGCAGGAAACTGCAGCGCCAGGTGTGTCAGTTCTATTGTTTGTAAGTCCCAGCAGAGCGGTCCGCCATTCTGAAGTTGTAAGTGGAATATTTCTGGCCCCAGGGACCGACAGGGGCCGGGTGGCCTTTCATTAACCCCGTAAAGTGTCATTTTAGCACATACTGGCTCAAGAAACTGATTTTAAAACATGAAAATGTTGCATAGTGTGGCTTGAAAAAATATTAGAGAAGTACCACAGGGTAGTATTTATTAGGGGCAACCAATCAAAGACAGCAATTACATTTATTCTTTACCAAAGAATCAGAAGAGAAAGTCCTTCAAAGGGGAGGTTAAACATTTGTGTTTGAGTGGAAAATTTTAGTCCTTAAAGGGTAAGTTAAGGGCAGAAGCTGCTAGTGAGAGCTGACAGAACACTGTTACAGCAGATTTACCTGGACAAAGAAAATAAAATCATCACACTGCACATTTCCTCACCTCAGGACCATATGTCTTAAACACTCCTTCGTAAACTGCTCCGTTTTTGACTTTCAGCTCACACTTGGTCCCCTGTAAACAAACAAGCTGCTGGTTATTATTATTCACTGCACACGACACTTACTCATTCACCGAAATGACAAAATAAACTGACAAATTCTAAAACGCAAGTTTAGAAACCCATCTGTTAGAAGCAGACAAATGATTGTGTACACCACCAGCTGTCCCTACAAACAAGCGTTTACTGCCAAATAAACACGGCGTGTGGTCAAAGACTTACTGCAACTTTCTTCTTCCCATCTCTGGGATTTTGTTCACCTACAGAACGTTAAGCTTTTATACTTACAAAGAGTCAGAATAAAACCTATTTAAGATTTAGGAGGCAAGGTCAAGGTCAAGGTAGGGCTGCTCAATTAATCGAATTTTAATCACGATTACGATCTGAGTTTTGAACGATTATAAAAAACAAAACAAGCCGATTATTTGCTCCTCCCGCTTGCGCTGCCCTGAGTTGCAAATGAAGCGCTCCTCCACAGTGTTGCCAACTTAGCGACTTTGACGCTATTTCTAGCAGCTTTTCAGACCCCCTTCTTGACTTTCTAATCCTAAAAGTACCTAGCGAACACCTCAGAAACATCTCTGGTAACCCTTAGCTACTTTCTGGATAACTGTCGTCGACATTTCCTGCAGTTTAGCTAAACACTCCGCCTGCGCTCCGGACCGTTCTTCACAACATTAGGAAAGGGAATGATGCAGTGATGTGTCGGTCGCTAAAGACAGCTCTCGGAGCCGGCTCCTTGTTGGAGTAACCAGAGTGAGTGACACACATGGCACCTGCGGACTCCTGAGCCGCTAAAAACAGCTAAATGTGCGCGTGCAGCGTGCTAAACACACGTGCACCTTGCCCGATTGCTGTGAGACCGGGTTGGGGGGTGGGGGGTGCAGCTGTGGTCGGGACAATTATTACATTAACTGGTGGACCTGTAAATAAATAGTTTATAAATAAGGTAGAAATAAGTTCCTCACGCTGATAAATAATAACTAATCTCTCTGAGGACACGGTGCTAGTGCACTCTCCTACAGCACCTTGACACGACTAAATAAATGTTATGCAACATTTTGTGAACATCAATTTATTTGCATTTATTTGTTATAAATGCCACTGTATAATTCTTGCTGTCAGTATTTGCAAGATATTGGTATTTGGTTCTGTACTGGTTAGACTCAAGGTCTATAGCCCTTGGGTCATAGACTATGAGCTATAAGTATATTGGTCTTTTTATACTGGGAATCAGGAGTTATTTTAGTGATCATCTTGTTTCTTATTTTTGTCCTGATTGTGCCCTGAGCAATTTTATGACTGAATAAAAACAAATAAAATCAACATAAATTGAAAAATCGTCCTAAATAATCGTGATCTCAATTTCAGTCACCATAATCGTGATTATTATTTTTGCCATAATCGAGCAGCCCTAGGTCAAGGTAACTTGATTAATACCCGCAGGTAAATTTGATTTGCCATGTGACACGAGAATTAGCGCCCAGTTACACACACAGTGACAAAAAAAACACACAGAGCAAAAACGTACCACCACTGAAGTTAAAACATGGACCATCCTCATATTTGCATATACGCCACTGAATATCACCTAAAAGAGGAGAGAGATATAAAATAATAAATGTTTCCTATTTACAAAAGAAGATTATGCTGAATAGCAACTCGGGCATTAAACTAACTGAACATGTTGTTCTTTTGAATCGACAACAGTTACTAAAAACAGATCTCCAAACTCTAGAAATGAGCTTCAGCTTTTAAAAATAATAGACCATAATAACAAATTAGATTTGAAAACGTTGAGCTGCTAAACCACATAGCATAGCACTAATTATTTGCCCTAACTTGTGAGGTTACTTACTGCTGCAGAATTTTTACCACTGTGTCTTCCCCTGAAAGAAAGAAAAGGGACATTTTTGTCAAACTTCGTCATCATCAAGTAGGCTGCAGCAAAAAGCTGAGAAATTATGAAACGTTAGAGATGCAACTACGTAAAATCTATTACAGACCACAAGAAATCAGTTAAAAAATGATGCTATTAAATGAGTGGAACACTGAATTAGTCAATACATTTGCAGTGTTCTCTAGTAAGAATGAGTGCCTTGTATGTCGTTCTCAGGGGGCGGGAATATACCAGTACAACATTTCCAGGAACTAGTAGTGAACCACATCACAGTTGAGCTTCAGACGGCAGATTTTGGAGTCTTATTTCCTGATAGTTGGACATCTCGCCCCGGACTGGATAACAGCAACATGACTACCACTGACTTGCAACATTGATGTTTATTTTCATAAATAACACAAGCCTGGAGGAGTTTCTGCTGTGTGGTGAACTTGCTAATGCTAATGGTTAGATTAAACTAGCTGAGACATCTGCTGCCGGTCCCTGGACGTTAAAATTGATTAGTCAGTGAACGGTAATCCAGTGCGACGTAGATCTGAGGATTTTCAAATCCTAGAGTTTCACCATCTATTTTCTATCAGAGGCAAAGGCAGAAGATGAGTGTAGGAGACTATTTTCATGTTCAGCCTGCGTGAAAAACTCCCATTGATCAATTATAAACAGAAAACAACATTTTAAATGTTTTTACTTTTTCAGGCCTAGTCCACACGTAGCCGGGGTTTTTTTTTTTAAACGAATATCCGCCCCTCCAAAAACTTGCATCCACACCACCTCGTTTAAAAAAAAATTCTGTCCACACGTACCCGGATAAATACATTGCTAAGGACATGCCAGACCTGTAGGCGGCAGTACTTCCCCCGTTCTTAACCTCGTCCTTCGTCTGTGGTCTTCCGCAAGGAGCAGTAATTCCGCTTGCAAAAACAAACAAGCAAAAAGCGCTTGGACAATTGATAAAGCGAGCGCAGCTCTGAGGGCTTCCATGCTGTCGGCTAGTGTAAACACAGGTCGCACACGTGATGTCAGCATTTTTTTTGTCGCGGAAAGTGACGTTGCGGACCTTAAAACTCCGGTTTTGTCCGTCCACACGCAGACACCCAAAACGGAGAAAACGCAGATCTTCACTTTGGCCGGAGTTTTTAGAAAGATCCGTTTTCGTGTGAAAGAACTCCGCTTTCATGTGGATGACAGGCCAAAACGTAGAAAAATATCTACGTTTTGGCAGATCCCCGGCTACGTGTGGACAGGGCCTCAGTCACCCACACCTTTAATATCATCTAAATTCCAATCAAGGCCCACTTTTGTTTTTTCCTAATGATGTTGCAGGTTAACGGTCTAGATTATTGGTCTACATTATGTGGTTTTGGTTGAAGCCAGCATCCATCCAAGTTTAATTATAATTACAAACCAAAACGCATCAGCTAGCGTTCGCTCAGAAACAATTCACTCCCACACAGAATATTAAAAACAGCTTCCTGCAAAAGAAATGTTATTTTAAATTGAAATGAGTTCAAGATCCCCACAAGTTCAACCTCAGTAACAGTAGGTCATGGGCAGAACTCAAGCCAGTGGACTGAATCTGGTAACGTGACGATTTTATTTTACACGCATTCAGAGCTGAAGTACACAAATGAAAAATTTGAAACTGCACTAGCATGGGGTCGTGTCAGTTAAAGCTGGCCCAATTCCAGACCAGCTTCTTTGTTATTCTGATCAGTGGTTTTGATATTCCTGTGGCAGAAAAGGAAATTTACAGAAAGGATGTTTATCACAAACACGTGAATAAAGTTTGCAGCTTCACTTATTTAGAAAAACATTCAAGTTTTGTTTCAAGTTGGACGAGGAAATCTGTCAATACAACTCCCAGGTGAAATGACCCCGTCTCAAAGCACTCAAAGTGCAGCTTCACAGACGGGGTGATCATCAACACCAATGTGCACAGGCCAGTGTGGGCTTTTACTGCCCAGCTGCACACAAGGGAGACACAGATGCTGCAGGGAAACCACCAATTCATAACGGGCTCCATCGCAGCTCATTTTGCTTAGAAACCAAGCACTAAAACCTGAACCAGACACAGAAATCACACTGAAACGAAGAAAAGTACGCCTCATGAACAGTGCAGATCTCCCTTTTTGTCACTGACTCTAGGAACCAGCTCCACACACACAAGTTGACCGCATTATTTATTTTCCACAACACCTTTACAGTACTTGGGGTAATACTAGATATTGGCCAGCTGGTATACTTCTTCAGTAGAGTTGATTCAAAGTGAGGCACATCTGCAAACTTCCCCATAATGCTGCAGAATTTTATTTTTAATTCTTGATAAATTTATTTATTTGCATGATTAACTTTAGTTAAATGTTTGATTTTAAGACTGAGATCAAAATTAAGGTTCAACAGTTGGTTGAATTCAGACTCCTAAAGCCGTTTCAGCTTCAGAAATATTGTGCATCGATCAACAGTTTTTATTAGAGTTCGACCAATACTGGTTTTTCTATTGCTGATACTGATATGTAGGAGACATGGTGAGCAGATGGCCAGTGTGCTGCCGATTTTCATGGTTGCTGTGTAGACATTTTTCACCTTATATTCATGCTAAAATATCACTAATAACATTGATTGATGCTCAAAAATGTTTAAGCCAATTCGGTTTTTAAACTCTGGATTTAACCAACTGTTCAATCTTAACTTTGTGCACTGCTCATTGTTAAAATCAGACACCTAAATTAGGTTAATGTAAATTATTTATCATGCAGATGTTATTAGTGAATGCAAAAATACATTTAAATATAATTCTGCAACAGTACCAGGCTGCCCGAGGATGTGCCCAACTTTAAACTGGCTTTACTAAGGACAAATATTGGCCGATACGATATATTAAAAAAAAAAAGGTAAATATCAGCCCGATATATTGGGCTACCTCTAGTTGTTAGAAGATATTGGCCATCAAATTCGGCCATCAGCTGACCGTGAACTGTACATATTCTATGGTATCTGCAATAGATGTCCCAATATCGGTTCACGTCTGTACTCAACAACTTTTACTTTTGATGAAAATGATCCAAGTATCACTCCTGGCCATAAACACGGATGAACTTGTAGCCAGCAGTAAACGCTTGAAATTAAACTTTCTTTTTGATTTCACTGGGAAATATTTGTAGCTCTTTGGATCTTCAGAGGAATTTATTCTAGTATTCTGAAAATAACTTCTCTAGAAAATACTGAAGAGTGAACTACTCACATTTCTTTAGAAATATAATTTTATAATCTGATTGGACCGACTTCTGCACGGGATGCATGAATATTTTTTTATCCAAAACACAGATTTTTGACTGGTTTCTACCAAGTTTTTAATGTTGGGCTCAAACATCCCTGCAGCAGATGAAAACAGCGCTATGGGCGTATCTCTGTCCTACTGACCGGTGAACAGACGCCTGGCCAAATGAAGGCCACCAAAATAAAGAGAATAAAATCTCATTAACCGTCGCTGCGTGTCATTTAGGACGGCGTGTGCAAGGAAAGCCATGCTTCAAGGACATTTCGTTTCTCACGAGAAACAACGTCAAGGCTGAAAGCCGGTCACTATGATCATCTCCCTCTTTTTCCCTCGCCCTGGTATCCACACCCTCCCCGTTTTTTCTACTACACGATTTATATCAATTTATTGGCAATCCCGCTGCGCCAATGTTGCGGTAACACAATGGCAGCTTGGCGAACAGAAACGCAGTTTATAAAAATCGCCAGAATGCGTCTATTCAAGCAGTCCGTGTGATTACCGACACGGGCTGTCAAATGGTTAATTAACTCAAGCCAAACCGTCTTAAGGCAGATCAGGCTGATAGTAACCTAATAATAACTTGATGAGCACCATTAGGAAAACACGAGCGGGAAACATTTAGATTTTATTTTCCAGACGTGCGTATGTGCATGAGCGAATGCCACGGTACATTTTTATTTACAACACCGGGTGAAACGTAACGTTGCTGGTCTGGACCTAGCGGACAGGCCTCGCGTAACGTTTCAGTGGATGGCGAAACATGTCGCAAGGCCCTCAGAACGTTCTGATAATTTGGGCAACTCTACGTGCATGTCATCTCTCCAAACTGGTCCGGTTTGATAGAATCGTGCTGTAATAATTAGTCCATGTCACAATACTCATGTCTGCCACGTTTTTTTTTTTTTTTTACTTTCATAAGTTTTAATTTCACAGACCTGCCCAGATTCTGTCTTCCACCGCCGCTACCTCCGGCTCCAGAAGCGGCCGCACCAGTTGTGTTGCCACTGCCGGGCTTGCTTCGATTTCCACCGGCCTTCATTGACATGATGATCCCATAAAAGACGGCGACTTAAAATGACCACTTTCAGACTTGATAACAATAAGACGGTGTAGTGGTGCTAGCTGGCTAATGTCAACGTGCCTTTTAGATGATGCTGATGCTAGGCAGTTAGCTACTTAGCTAAATTAGCAATCTGTACAATTCTTTTTAAAAGCGGAAAATTAATATTTTAAAATGACAACACACTTTACTAACTCCTTCAAAACAAACATATGTCTGTCGCCTCTTGTCAGTTTATTACGTAAACCGAGCAAAAAAAAATCTATTATCTCAAAATAGGGTTTACAGCTAGCTCAGGTTCTTTCCGATGCTAACAGCAAAAAGACCAAAACAGTCTGAAAGGAGACAAAAAACAGCGGAGGGATATATGGAAGGCGTAGCGATTTTTCATATGTAACAAAAAATTTAAACCATTCATTATTTGATGGTATCAAATCTTCTAAAGAGATAAAATTATTAATGTCCATTCCTGCGTATTAGTTCATTATTATAACACGAGCTAGTTTTATGATTTCCACCTGCAACCTGGCACTACTTTTAGGAAGTCCGTGGATCATTAATGGCTGCGTAGCGGCATCATCCACGTGAGCCGGTGTTGTGCCATAAAGAGATGGTCTGCCAAAAGCTGATTAAACACCGCAGGAGTCCTTTAAAGGCAGATAAAATCCTTCAGCTGAATGCTGTAACCACGTTTTGTGGTGAAAATGGTACAAAAATGTTAACTGTTATAGATAACATACAAAAATAAATCAAGCAAATTGTGGAAAAATCCCTTATTTTCAATTTTACGTTTATCTTCAGAACAGTAACCTGTAGAATACAGATGGGCTGTTCTTTACAGAAAAAAGTGTTATTGTTAATAATTGTTATGTTCAGTGTTACCGGCATTTATGTTAAACTCCGAACAGTCAAATGGGGTGAAAACAACACACCTCTACTATTTCCTGATATACAACTGTGTGTTGTTTGATTTAACGAACTAAGCTGCAACTGGCGTGTACTCGGGTTTTGACAGATATCACTTTATAGCATAACACCGGTGTTCTTTCAGCTGCTGGCAAACAACGCGCGTGCTCAGCTCTCTCACGGCCCGCGTGGGACTACGGCAGCCGTGACAGCTCAAACACAGTGTTTCAGATAGATAGATAGATAGATAGATAGATAGATAGATAGATAGATAGATAGATAGATAGATAGATAGATAGATAGATAGATAGATAGATAGATAGATAGATAGATAGATAGATAGATAGATAGATAGATAGATAGATAGATAGATAGATAGATAGATAGATAGATAGATAGATAGATAGATAGATAGATAGATAGATAGATAGGCTGTGTCTCAATTCAGGGTCTGCATCCTACCTCGGCCGGATTCGTCGGCCGGTTACGTCACAGCGCCGCGACTCGGCCTGTCCCAATTCGAAGACTCCTTCAAATGCGGTCGACGAATGCGGCCTTCTTTTCGCCTGAATGAAGGATGGGTCGGGTGTATCCTTCAATAGGTAGCATTTCCCAAGATGCCTTGCGGGCCGGCCGGCAGAAAAACTTAAAAACAATGGCGGACAGTGAAGCGGGAGCTGTCGGAGAGGATTGCGCATATAAATGTAAGTATAAACTTGAAAACTGTCAGTTTAAGGACTTTTTGTGATACATGAACGTTATTTTAGTTAGAAATGTTACAGTAAAAGTGCTTGTATTGCGGTCTCGGCTCGTATGTTCGGCCGCGCTCGGTGTCGTACTTCTCCCACTACGTTTCCCCCTGATTTTAATAGAAGTTTGTATTTTAGGACCAAAAGAGAAAACCAGGGAATTTATTAAGCTTAGGGCGGAGATGGACCACATGATCACCGGAGCAAAGTATTCGGCGGCTGTGGCATGGAGGTACAACAACATCTCATATTTTAAAAACTCGTTTGAGTATATTTTTTTCTGCGAAAACATGAAAGGAATAACCCGTTGTCCTCTTTTCTCTTCCTGTTTCTTTTCTTACATGTTTGTTAAGACTATTCTGGAGAAAATGGGCATCCAGGGGAAGGTGCCAGCGATGAGCTTCTGGAGCTGATCTGGGAGGACATGAGGCTGCAGAGCAGCAGAGAGCACAGGAGAGAAGGAAGAACTTTGACAGCTTTTTACTTTGCTAGAAAAAAATGGTTAATGAAGATTAAACATGTACATGTAAAAGAAATATCTAAATAAAATCAGTTCTGCATTAAACTCTTGAATTTTATTTTTGTTTACAAATGAGAATTGTTTACTAGAGGGTATCCGCTGGGTCTTGAAAAGTCTTAAAAGGTGATAAATCGGTTTTGGTCAAATTAAGACCCTTAGAAAGTATTAAAAACTATTATCACATCTTTGCTCAGGCTCAGCTAGTCTAAAGTATTTTCTCTGAATTAGCTCTCCAACAGTCAAGGAAATGATTAACCCCCAGAGACCCACGGTTGTAGTATCACAACATCAGATTTAAGTCTACAAAAATAAACCTTCCCCATTTTTTTTCTTTTTAAAACCACATTTACATTGCTAATAGGTCCTATTCAGTTCTGCAACACTATTGGCTGTTAAAATGTGTAAATAGGCCCGTTTATCTGGCCTCCTAGAACAACATGTGAAAGGTTAAAAATATTTTGCAGTTGTTTTCTAAATTTGGGTTTCTGGGGGTTAAAAAGCTAAATAAAACGTCGAGCTCCATCGTTTAAGGTTCCTTCTGCCCAGCGGTTCCACGGTTGCTAGGCGACGGAACGTTCGCCGAGGGAGTTCATGAAGGCTAGGCCTGTCCAAATTCACAGCCGTTAACATCCGGTCTACCCGGCCGACGGAGGACGCAGCCCACGTCGGCCGGGTGGGCTGGGTCCTTCGAAGGATGCAGACCCTGAATTGAGACACAGCCATAGATAGATAGATAGATAGATAGATAGAGAGAGAGAGAGAGAGAGAGAGAGAGAGAGAGAGAGAGAGAGAGAGAGAGAGAGAGAGAGAGATAGATAGATAGATAGATAGATAGATTGAGGAAGAAGAAGAAGAAAAGATCTTTTCTATAGCGCCTCTCAAGATAAAAATCGCGAGGCACAACTAAAAATGTTCAAATATAAAAAATAATTTAGAAAATGTTTAAAAATATATTTAAAATGAGCAAAAAAATAGACAATTGTGATTAAAAAAATGTTAAGAAAGAGAGAGAGTGAATAGGAAAGATGGAAATCAGTGGATCCTGAGGAAGGTGGAATAGGTGGGGGGGGCAGAATAAAGAAAGAGTGGTGATGAAGGTCACACCAAAACCAACTTGAACAAGTGAGTTTTCAGCTGCTTTTTAAAGGAGACCACTGAGTCCACTGCTGTCAGGCTCAGGGGGAGAGAGTTCCAGAGTCTGGGGGCCACAGCAGCAAATGATCTGTCACCTTTGGTCTTTAGCCTGGTGCTGCACAACCAGTAGGCTTTGGTCACTGGACCTCAGGGACCTGCTGGGGGTGTAGGGACTAAGAAGATCACCAATGTAAGATGGTGCTTGTCCATGTAAGGCCCTATAGACCAGAACCAGGATCTTGAAATGAACCCTGAAGTTGACTGGCAGCCAGTGAAGCTGGAGGAGAAGCGGGGTGATGTGGGTGTATTTGGAGGACTTGGTCAGAAGCCGAGCACAGGCGTTCTGAACCACCTGTAGACGGTTCAGGGAGGTTCTGCTCAGACACGTGAAAAGAGAGTTACAGTAGTCTAAGCGTGAGGAGATGAAGGTGTGGAGAACTGTCTCAAGTTCAGAGCGGGACAGAATGGGACTCAGCTTAGCAATGTTCCTGAGATGGAAGAAGGAAGAGCGAACAAGAGAACTGACATGAGAATCCAGGGTGAAAGCCGGGTCGAAGGTCACGCCAAGATTCCTGGCGGAAGGTTTGGTGTGAGTAGCAAGCTGACCAAGAGAGTCTCTGACTTTGGGAACCAGCTTGTCTGGGGCACAAATGAGGATCTCAGTCTTATCTTCATTCAGCTGAAGAAAGCTCCCAGCATCCAGGTTTTGATAGAGTCTAAGCAGGTGTGTAACAGCTGCAGCTTAGACATCTCATGGGGCTTAAAAGAGATGTACAGTTGGATGTCATCTGCATAAAGATGGTAGGAGATTCCTTTGAAGGAGCTCAGGATGTGCTGAAGAGGAAGCAGATAGAGGGGGAAGAGCAGAGGCCCCAGCACAGAACCTTGTGGGACACCATGGGTAAGAGAGGTGGTGGAGGACCTAAACTTGGAGACGGCTTGGAGACGGATGGCTCTTGACTCCCAGAAGATAATTCCGCTGTTGTGTCCTTGCGCAAGACACTTAACCTACCTTGTCTACTGGTGGTCTGAGTGACCGGTGGCACTTGTACTCAGCAGCCTTGCCTCTGTCATTGTGCCCCAGGGTAGCTCTGGTTACAATGTAGCTTATCACCACCATCGTGTGAATGTGTGTGAATGGGTGGGTGAATGATACACTGTTGTAGCATTAGGAAGTATGAGGGTCTGCCCTTAACAGCTGCCCCTTCACACAGTAACACCGCCAAGGTCGGACGCTTGGTTCAGTATGTTTACATTCCAGGAGAAGAGACAGAAGAACAGAAGAAGAACGCTTTTGATGGATTAATCAAAGTACTTTATTTGGGATAAGCTAATCAAAGCATTTGTTGATCATTAATAATCAAGTGAATGATCTGTGAATTAAAGATGTCATGAGTTATGTGTTTAAATGAATAAACAGGGCTGCCCAGACACACTGATATGCATTACCATGGAAACGCATGACACATTGTTTTCAACCAATCAGAACTTTCATCTGTGGTAGGGCAGAATCTGGTTTGTTTATGAAAGTAGTCCAATCCGGTTTACTAAGATTCTCAAACAACTGGGAGATAAAAAAGAAGGCAACGCCATTTTAAGTCAGTTCCACGTTACGTCCGACTTTCAGCAGTTACGTATTAAACTCAGCTCCAGGACATCCTAGTTCCTAAGGATTTCCATCGTCATCATTAAGAAGTTCAGACTGGCCAGCTGGACTTCCTACTTTGAGCTGAAATCTGTCAAGCTGGAGATTTTCCGTCGTTTTTACCAACGAGACGACGGTCCTTCAAAATAAGAGTGAACTTGTTGGCGCCTGCCGCTTCACCTGAGTCGACCCTTCAGACAGGCGTTGTTTGCTGTGACCACTGTCTCAACCAGCTCCAGTATCGCCGAAGGTCCGAGACCTGGCAATTCCTGATCTACACGGGAGACTCCATCTAAGGTACGGCAAAATGGCGGCTCATGTCATCAGCTTCTGAGGCCTCGTGGTAGCCTAGTCAAAACAACCAGATTCGCTACTCAGCCTAGAGATTCTGATCAAAACACACACACACACCAAACCGAACCATCTACATCCATATGCATCCATCATTGAGATAGTCCTGGTAGATTGTAAGAATTTATAATTATAGAAATTAAAGATTCTTAAACGATCCCAACTTTCTCTCTTTCTTGTCTCTCAGTCAATTCAAAGTGTTGAAGTAAACTCCCTGATGATAAAAACAACCACTTCTGATTGATTATTTAGATTTGTATAAATATACAAAATCAGGTAATTAAATTATCTAATTACAGTATATAAATATACAAACTTCAAATCACAACACTGTAGTGTAAAGAGGTTTGGAGTCCTCTGATTCTGACAGGCAAGTGCAGGCCATTTATCATTTAAAGAAAATATACATATACACAGTAATTTATTATAAAACACATAAAAAGCCAAATTTACAACAAACATTTCTGTTATGACAGAACTCTCAAAGGTGCGTAGACATTCAAAAAAGCTATTTAAAAAAATAACCCTGGTTTTTCAGGCATCCTCCTAGAGTCACAGTGTCTGATGATTGCAGAAAACTGTATACCACCAGACACTATAGAAACTGTCAGACAACCGTAAGGTTATCTTACATCTATGACCCATCGTTGGCTCCTTTTCTGCCCTAATTACACACCAATGTTAGCTAATGAAGTGGAGTGTTCATGATGAAAAATAAGACTAAAGTTTTTAGCTTTCTTGGTTTATTCACAAATTTAATTAGAGCTTCGTCACAGCTCTGATGTCAGTATGGCTGCAGCTTGTCACTCTCTGACTGGTTCTTATTCCAGAGATCTTTTGTTCCATGTGATCTTTCTATAGGCCAGGCCCTGTTGGAGTCCAGTCAGCAAATTTCTCCATTTGTTCTTCTGTCACTCATTGAAAGCTGTTCACCAACAGTCTCCATGTTTATTGATCAGCTGATCTGTCAGAAACAGATGAGTAATTCATCAACACAGAGACTTTTTAAATATAGTGGCAAATCTGTCATCACTGTGTCTCTGCAGTAATGAAGAGTTCCTGACCACCAGAACCTGGATCAGAGGGGCAGAGAAGTTAAGTGACTGCCCCGTAATTGGAGATTTGCAGGTTTGAGCCCCGCTCAGTCTGTTGGTTTCGTTGTGTCTTTGGGCAAGACACTTAACCCACATTGCCTGTTGGTGGTGGTTGGAGGAACTGGTAGAACCAATGTCTGTCCTCATCGCTTCTGTCAGTGAGCCCCAGGGCAGCTATGGCTACATTGTAGCTTATCATCACCACAGATATATATCTATATGATCATCACCACCAGGGTGTGAATGCGTGTGTGAATGAGAGAGTGACTGATTGTGCTGTACAGCACATCAGAGCTAACCTGGCCTGCCAGACTCGTCCTCTGTTTAATTCTTCACAGAGAAAGAATACGCCTTTCTCTGTGCAGAATAAAACAGAGAAGGAGTCTGGCAGGCCAGGCTACCTCAGAGGGTTCTAGGACCCCAAAAAGCACTATATCAAATACAGGCTGTTTGCAATAAAGAGATCAGATCAATGTAAATCACAAGTCACTATAATGTGACAAATGTCCAGTCAGAACTGTAAGAATTTAAATGTTTATATAATGTAAAATAATAATAATAATAGTTGATCATCTAATAACTTTTATGAACCTTACATCAGTTATATTATCTGATTTAATTGTGTGTGTGCGCGCGTGTGTGTAAGTAGAGCAAACATTTTAGATTAAAGCGTGAAAATCCAAACTTGAACTCAAAGGGGACCCGTAGTACTGTCCTCTTAAAGCACACTGGATTAATAAGTTGTTGGTAAAAACCTAATCGAGACATAATGTTTTTTAAAATATTGAATACCAGCCTACACATGCGATTTAATAGATGGAAGTGTTGTGTTTGCGCATTGCTGTGATTTTCAGAAATTTGGCGCTGATTGTCATCAGGCGTTCTGGATGGACAGCTATGACTGGGGTATTCCTCTGACGAGTAGCAAAATAGTTCAGAGATGTGGGTACCTCTTTAACTTCCAGAGAGAACATAATATGTTTACCCCCTCCGGTTTTGTCGCACCGTCCTTGTGCTGTACGAGTTTTAATGGTTACTGCGCTGCTTTATTGAAGAATGTTAATCTCCGCGGTTTTCAGCGGGGATAGAAAACTTAGCCAGCTCGATAGCGGCGTATAGTTCGACGACGTAAGCCGTTGGGAACGCAGTGTGCTCGTAGCCTTGGATCAGATCGGCTTTTACTGAGGTTAGTTGTTTTGTTTACATCTCGTCTTCGTTCGCATTTAGCTCCCTCGACTGCTTTTGTGCGGTAATCTGTTCTAAGCGAGACCAGGAGGGCTACCGGCGGAGTCAGCTGCCAGAGAGCTAACAGTTTGCTGCGTTTCACTGGCTAAAAATATCACTTGCACCCACACTGCGCCACCGAAAGTGGTGGGCTAGTCCACGCTCGACTTCGGCTTTTTGGTGACACTGCCCAGAGTCTGAAACTCTACATGGTCACTACAGTGATTTTAAGGCGAGTGGAAGAGCGAGTCGGACCCCGACGCTGTGAGTCGAGCTGGCCTGATCTGACGTTGCATCGCACCCGCTGCTGGGCTTCGGGGCTCCCGGCGGACCTCACTCGGCTTTGGCTGGTCGGTGGCCGAATGTCATCGTGCCGTAATGCCCCGATCTTGTCATTAGTAGTGATATAACAAACCTTGGTCCAGCCCAGGCAGACCGAACCCTTGTAAAGGTCAGAATAAACGCTTTGTCTCTACTTTCTGACACTGGCCACAGACTCGACTGTCCGGAGCAGAGCACCATGTCGGAGGATAACGCAGAGAAGTTCATCAAGGTGAGAAAAAACAGGAAATATCATCCATTTATTAAATGGCCTTTGTTTAATTGTCTTCAGTAATACGTGACAAACAATTTTATATTAAAAATGATGCTTATTTGAATCTTTTGGTTTAGATCTTAGCATGGAGAGGAGAGATGAGTTTTACTGTGGTGGAAAGTTAAAGAGCAAGTCACCCCCAAATCAACTATTTTTTTCCTGATAAACTATATAAATGCATGTCTAATCGTGCTGCAGACACGTGTAGTCAATAGTTTAGCACTATAGTGCATTTTAGTTAAAATTTAAATTTTCTGCCTGAAACTGTCAGTGTTGTGCCGTTGTCAGGTAAAAATTCTGCACTGCATTTGAATTTAAATCTGCCACCGCTATTGGCTAAGAGGTATGCTATGATGTAAACTGGTACATTATGATGTCACAGTGTGGTGAGTGTGTGTATTTGTTCGTGGCTCCACCCTCTCGGTCTGCTAGGCAACAGCATTTGTTGCATTTTTCAAACAGGAAGTGGGAGTTGAGTAAGAATCTGGCAGGGGGTGACTTGCTCTTTAAATACTCAACATTATAATGTAGCTTTAAGCTTCACCTGGAACACATTTGATTTACGGTGTTACCACTTTTATAGTCATTTATTCTTTAATATTCTGTCATTTTCATTTGTACAGACTTGTGTGTTCTCATAATCCAAAGACCCAGTTCATTCATTAACTCATCCTAGTGGCATAAATGAGTCTAATCGTCAGAGCACCATTCTTCATGTTAATGTAAAGCAGACTAGATATACTGTTTAATCCTATGGGGGGTTTTGTCCTCTAGAACCACAGATAAAAAGCAGATGAATGTGGTTTCAACTCATTCAGTTGCATTATGATTCTAGGTTGCATCACAGTCTTATCTTAGCTTTGTTAATCTTTCCCAGACTTGTTAAACTGTCTTTGTCCACAAATGATTACGCAGGATCACACTGTTGTGAAAGCAGATAACTGATATTTAACTATGACACGACTCGGAGCTGGAAAATACAGAGTACTATTTTTGACATTGTCAGTCGTGTTTACTAAATTCAGTGGTATTTAAAACCAAAAAGCTTATTTTGATTCCTGGAAATATTCCATTTTTAACAAAACATATATTTTTCCTTTCTCTCATATGTTTACCCAACTGTTTTGTGTACGGTCACATTTGATGATTTATGAGCTTGTTATGTGATTAACACGTCACCTTTTTTTCCCCTTTATTTAAACGTCTGACACGCTCTCTTTCCCGTTCCTCCTGAACAGGAGACGTCGATTCTGGATGAATACAACATAAACTGGACACAGAAGTTAGGAGCTGGGATCAGTGGGCCTGTCAGGTGAGGGGCTTTCATATGTTTTCTCCGGTCCGATTGTGTGCATGTTGCTTTAATCAAATCACAAATTCAATATTTGAAAAAAAAAATAAATAAATAAAGATTATATTAATTTCACTACTAATATTTAGGATTTTAATCTGAGGTTTATGGGGATGGAATTATTTTGGTTGTTGTGCAAGTTGTGGAATCAAACTGGGACAGTTTGGGGCTCAATGCAAATTTTCATATTATTTTTAAATCATTTTCTTGAGCCAGTATGTGCTAAAATGACCTTTTACAGGGTTAATGAAAGGCCACCCACCCCCTGTCAACCCCATGTGGCCAGAATATTCCATTTGCAACTTCAGATCTGGCGCTGCTCCGTTTGGAAAAATTAGAGCTGATTTACCTGGCGCTGCAGTCTGCTTCCAGCACGTTTCCTGTGTGTTTTAGATCATGAACACAGCTGATTTGTCTAATTTAGTTTTGAATCACTCCTGTAGACACTAAGGAAAGCTGGGGAGACATTTCAGCTGCTAGATTAAAGGGGCATTATGGAAGTTTGACAGCCAAAACATGTATAGAAATAATAAATGTCTTCTTCATACATTCTCCTGCAATGCCCTGGTCCTGTAGAATGAGCCCTGGCATTTTTACTGTGACTACCTGTTTTTCTGTAAAATCACAGAAAAAGAGAGATGCTCGGGTCGAGCAGGCTGCTTCATGCGCGTTCACGCTCAGGCATAGCCCGTAGCATTTACTATCTGTAGCTTTAGCAGCAGAGAGAGAGGCAGTGCCACTTTGTCGCTGTTCCTAACGCCTAGTGACAAAGCTAGCTACATTTCTGAGGACCCTTAGCTACTTTCTGTAGAACTTCTAGATATTTCCTGCAAATTAGCAACAAAATAGCCATTTTCGCTCCGAACCGTTCTTTGGATTGACGTTTCAGCTGTCATCAAGGATATAAAAGTTACAGATACTGTGAATGTTACTAGTGTAGCTCACCTAGTAAGATGTCTGACTGTCATGCAGAAGACCTGGGTTTGATTCTGGATGTGAACATAGTTCATTTAGAGTTTATTTTTTACATTAATTGTATATTTTTTTACAGTAAGATGCCCAAATTTTTATTTGAGACTCGCCGAACGGCATTGAATTCACAGATAAAAAAGATGTGGGTTCAACTTTCATTTTGGAACAATTTTTCAAGCAAGGGAAGGGAATGATCTGAGCATGCAGGAGGACTGACCCATCATAAACCTTTGTCGGCTGTGCTGAAGAGAAAGGTACAGAACCAAATTATTTAATTAATTAGCTGCGTGTTCTCCTGTCCTCCGGGCCACACACACACACACACACAAGGGACTGTCTCAGCTGCTATTTTCGTTAAGGAGTGTGCACGTACAGCATGCGCGCCTCGTGCACGAGCCTACTATTGAAGCTGCCGTTACGCTTTTGGCCTGAGGGGGCAATTGCGAGCATAAAAATTCAAAAGTCCGTAAAGTCCCTTTAAGGTGTCAAAAAGAAGAACGCACTGTGAGGAGATACATTTTGCTTTCGGTTCTACTAATGGGCACTAGGGGGTGCTAAAAGCAGGCCAAAACTGCCTATTTCCCCTTTAACGTGTGTGTGTTGTTTGGATCAGACTTTGTAGTTTTAAATTCTAAATCATTAGGACTCTATCTTCTAAAATCTCATAATATGATTGATGAGACGACACCCCAGCCTCTACAGTGTGGGATTAGATCATCGTTGCAGAGATGATGATGATGGAGCAGATTCTGGTTGTTGAATGGAAAAAAACAATCTTCCAGTGCATTAATGATGCTAGAAGCTTTATTATTTGTTTATTTTGCATTGCAAAGCCATCCCAGGTCTGGATCAGTAGAGAGCAAATCATTATTTATTTTACAAGTGACGTTTTAGTCTGAAATGATGAGAACAATGAGAAGTCGCCTCATCATCCCTCCATCCGAACACTGTGATTCACGCTGGGCTGGTTCTTTGTTGAGACGCTCTTGCACATCCCGTGTCGTGTTTGAGTCGCTTTTCTGCTCTGATGATGTGGTTTTCTCATCCACCCTCCCAAACTCCCTCCAACCACTTCTTCTCTGTCCAACTCTGTGATTCATTAGGTGGGTAATTCTCTCTCGTGGAGTGACCTTTGGTCAAAGAAGGGTGCTTCCTTTGGTAATACTTTAATGTGGTAATCTGAGTGAAAGGGCCAGAGGTGGCTGTTTTAATGCGAATATTTAGATTTTTGCAGATTAGAGGGGGAACGATTTTGTCTGAAGATGAAATCTGAAAATGGAACGTTTTGTTAAGAATACATTTTTACAACAGAGTATAAATCTGCCCCAAATGTCAAACAATATTTAGCGTCCTGGAAACAAAGCCTTTGATGTTGTTCAAATGAACCACTTCACAAGTGAAAAAAAAAAAAAAAAAAAAAATCAGATGTTGATCGGAATCGGTGGATATTTAGCATTTTAACTCATTAACTGCCGGCTGTTTCCCGACCAGAATAGCCTCTCGATACCAGCGTTTTTGGAGTATTTTTACTGTTTTTTGAAGACTTACAGAACATTGCGCTCTATGATGTCAACGCCAAAACTACCAAAACAAAGACTCCCCTCTTACATCAGGAAGAATCCGAGCGTTTCGAGCAATATCCATTCTTTCATAATCCGTTGTTGAATTGTGATCGGCAGAAGCTTTTCCAGTTCGTGCCTCACTTTCTTTACAGCAGCGGCCCAAAACGATCTCCTAACACATGGATTTTCTGCTTCCTGATCACGTGACGTGTAACGTACGCGGATGAAGATCGGCTTTAGAGCTGGGATGTTTGTTCTCACGGTGCGGGGCTCGTTCGGACGCCCGCCCAGTAAAAAAGAAATGCAAATGACGACTTTAATCATAAATGGCAGTGAATGAGTTTGAACATCGGCTTGAACACTGTTGCTAACCATTTAAAAATTCTCCCTCTCCTGATAACATTTTACTCTCTTTGACATTGAATGTGCTACTACTAGTTTACCCGTTTAACAATAGATTCACTAGGATAAATACAATAAAGTTTAGCTCTCACCATAGAAACACTACTTGGTATATATGTTGTGTGTGTGTGTGTGTGTGTGTGTGTGTGTGTGTGTGTGTGTGCGCGCGTGTGTGTGTGTGTGTGTCTGCTCTGTCTTCTCCATCCCCATACTGAGCCAGGATCCTCTGGAGGTTTTTTCCTGTTAAAAGGGAATTTTCCTCTCCACTGTCGCCAAATGCTAGCTTAGTATGGGGATTGCTGTAAAGTCAATTTTAACTTGATGGAATTTGCTGGGAAACTTTTTTCTGATTGGCTTAATGAACTGACCTGGATTGGAATGTTTATTATGCGAAGTGCCTTGAGACGACTCTTGTCGTGATTTGGCGCTTTATAAATAAACTTGAATTGAATTGAATGAGTTAACTGATCAATCTGAAACTCAGATTTTGTAATATTACGTTTGGTTCATAAACCAGCCAGCCTTCCCACATGGAAAATCACGATTGACAAGTAAGGGCTGAACAAAAATCGGTAATCGTTATCAGCCTTCAAAACCAGAATCGATTGAGTTTTGTCAAAGTTCTGTTGAACTGAGTACAGTTTGTGAACAAAACAGAAAAACATGAGTGAAATTGTCACATTCTTTGGAGATAAAGAAGAAAAACAAATGAATCAGTAAACACTCGAATATGAAATTCCCATCGAGATTACAGAAAATTATGTCGGATCTTTCCTTTCCTTTCCTTTCTCTCTCATCCAGAGTGTGTGTGAAGAAGTCAAGTCAGGAACGCCTGGCCCTGAAAATCCTCATCGATCGACCAAAGGCCAGAAATGAGGTGAGAACAGGGTCACGACTGTGATTAATCCCTGTTGTTTCGTGTCTTCAGCTGCATCAAAACGCCTTGTTCTGTCTGCGTGTTATCAGTCTTCATCCATTCCTTTTTCTCTCCCCGTCACTCCGTCTCCCGCGCGCCGCTCTGTTTGTACGAGCTTCTTTGTCCCAAATGTTGTCTTCCGGAGAACAGTTTGTCTAGCAGCTTCTTTGTGTCCTTAGCAGCCCGCTGTTTAGATCAAAGCAGCGAAAACAAGATTTGCTTCTCAAGTTCCTGCTGACGAACTGTGAAAGTTGACACTGACAGAAATACAGGATTATAACACGCCCCCCTTTATCTCGTCATATTAGGATGTTTGTTTGTTTTTAATGATAATTCTGTGCTCAGTTAATTGCGTTCTTACCCGTTTAGGTGCGTCTCCATATGATGTGTGCCAACCATTCAAACGTCGTGCGAATCCTGGAGGTGTACGCCAACAGTGTTCAGTTCCCTCACGAATCCAGCTCAAGGTGGAAGCTTGTTAGCATGTTTTCCCGTTAACAGCAGCGTGTTCTTGTGACCATCTATGTAATTTATCGTCGTTTCCAGAGCGAGGCTCCTGATCGTCATGGAGATGATGGAGGGCGGCGAGCTCTTCCACAGAATCAGTCAGCACCAGCACTTTACCGAAAAGATGGCCAGTCAGGTCACGAAACAGGTGGAAGCCTCTCGTTCCTCGTTTCCTGCGAGGTGTTTGTTTTATTTTTGTTTATTGGTGTTGAAACGGGTGTGATGTCACATCTATCTGCAGATCAGTCAAGCGTTGGCACATTGCCACTGCATGAATATTGCACACCGTGACCTGAAGCCAGAGAACCTGCTGTTCAAAGATAACTCTCTGGTGAGCTCTCGTGCACACACTGATGACATCATCAACAATACCAGTACAACTAGAGGTGATGGCAAACAAATTAAAACTATAAAGGATTTTATTTGAGCTATAAAGAACAGATTTTGACCCAGATAATGCTGAACTGTCCAATCTGTTGTGGTTTTGGTTAATTTTTGAACAAATACACTTTAATATTTTTCTGCAACACTAGTAAAACTTTGAAAACATTGTAAAATCAGGTTGTTTAATATTGAAGCAGCTAAATTATGATTCGTGGTTTATGCGTTTATTCTGCAGGACGCACCTGTGAAGTTGTGTGACTTTGGCTTTGCCAAAATAGATCAAGGAGACTTGATGACCCCTCAGTTCACCCCGTACTACGTAGCACCTCAGGTACAAACACGCCTCGTACATGTTCACCTGCTTTGCCTTCAGTGTTTCCCTTACATAGGTGTAGCCGTGGCGGCCCGCCACGGCTGAAATCCCAGCGCCACGCCTACAAGATCCCAAGTTTTATTGATTTTTTTAAAAAATTTATTTATTTTTTGCGCCGTTTCCCGAAGAAGCAGCGGGACTACTCTGTTGTTGCTTGTGATCACAGCCGGCAGGCAGCAAGGAGGAGGAGGCAGGGCAGAGTGGTTACAGCTAGGGATGAGTCGGATACTCATTTCAGACGAGTATCGGGTACGGATAAAGCATTTTTGACGAATACGAGCATGAAACGAGTAAAACTCGTAAATATCTGTAATCGTGCTGAAGGAAAATCCTCATCGGGTAACTGACTGTCTTCTCGCTCTGTGATTGGCCAGTCACATAGAGCGCCCGCCCCTCCCTACATACAAAACTGCAGCCGGGAGCTCAGTCAGTCCGGCCCATACACGCACGCACGCACGCACGCACGCACACACACACACACACACACACACACACACACACACACACACAGAGAGAGTAACGGATCTCTCTGCTTGCTTCACTGTTCCTCACGTTTCTTCAGAACTCACTAGGTTTTCTTCAGCTCGCCTGTTTTTCGGTTGAATATTTAAAGTTACTTTTGTCATAACGTACGCGGTGCATTTGACAAGACGGAGCTGAAAACGGCTCGTGCTGTCGGTCACTGCCTCCACTCCGGTCGGGTTTTTAAATTGTTTTAACTCTCTCTCTCTCTCTCTCTCTCTCTCTCTCTCTCTCTCTCTCTCTCTCTCTCTCACACACACACACACACACACACACACACACACACACACACACACACACACACACACACACACACACACACACACACACACACACACACACACACACACACACACACACACACACACACACACACACACACACACACACAAACACAAACACAAACACAAACAACACACACACACACACCCCTTAATCAACATTGTTTTGTTTAACTGTGTGTGGGGAAAATGCCAGCAACGTTAGGAAAAAGTCAGTTTAATCAAATTAAAATAAAATGGTTCTAGTATTTCATATTTCCTAGTTGCTACTGCATGAGTTCAGATGCATTAATTTATGCACTTAAATATTAATGTTCTGATTTTACTGAAACACTTGTTCTGTAATAGTTCCTTTACTATTGTGATCAAAAATATTTAATCTCAATTCTGAGGCTGTTCTGTAAACAACACGTACAACTTCTGATCAATCCGTATCAATTTCAGATTTAAAATAATGTATTGATGTTAACCACACCCACTAATTTCCAAATAATAAATAAGAGGTGCATTCATCTGTGGATCTCCTTTGATCCGCATCAGTGATATTTCAGCACCAGAACAACGAAGCAAAGAAACAAGATTCCTGAGTTTGTTATAATTTTATTTATTAGGTGCATCTGACCTGTTCTATTTTTCTCTGAAATGAGATCAAATCAGTGCTTCTATGGGTTGTCTCCTCTCTGCACTGGAAACATGTACTTTATTATAATGTTCACTGTAAAGCATCTTGATGTTCTTAACAAATAAATTAAATCAAAGATTTTGGTCAATAATGCCAAATATGTAAATTTGTGTTTCAGTCATTTTTATACTGGCTTAAAAATACTTCATTAAGTCTACTAAGCAGGGGTGTAGAACGTGTTTAACAGGGCCAGCCCAGTAATGATCTAGGACCAAAATAAAGGGGACAGAAGTCAAATAAAGGGGGCAGAAAGAGACGTTTTCCAGACGCCAAGAAAAATTAAATGCCAAATCCCCCCCTGCAAAGTGTGTCACTGAGAGTTTAAAACAAAAATTATTTTTGTGCAAATGTTGCTGTAGTCACCTTTAATACTAGTTATTAAATGCAGCAGTTGCTGGATTGGTGCAGTTCAAAGTGGAGTGCATCAAATAAAACAATATTAACATAAAGGTGAGACGTGTCAAAATCCCCCACCCCCCCACCCCCACAGCTGGAAAAATTCCTAGGGGAAACACTGACCTTCATGAACCCACAGAAACATCGTTTATATTTTTATTTCCAGGTACTTGAGGCTCAAAGAAGGCACCAGAAGGAAAAGTCTGGAATCATACCTACCTCGCCAACTCCTTACACGTATAACAAGGTAAACGAATGAGCATTCCTACTCTGTGGAAAGGCTCTGAACCCAATTCAGAGCCTTTATGATTCCAACTAGAACATTTCTTATAAAGAGCCTCAAGGAGTAAATGGGGTTAGGGTTGTATCGTGTGGTTCTTTAACTCGTATTTAATGCATGTGAGTTTATTCTGAGCTCTAATTACAGACAGGAACAAAACCTCTGAAGAGCGAGTCCTTTTCCACCTTTAGGATACTTTTATTTGAGTTTCTTTTATTTATTTGTATATTAGGAATGGCAAAAATAAACAAGGGCAGCACCTAGGGCTAGGTAATGAAACTTGGTACCTACCGAAATCATTCAGTAGGTACTGGAAAACATATCCTTTTTGGTGTTAAATTTCGGTACTTTCCCAGTAAAATGTGCCTTTTAAAGGTGTGGAACTCTGAAAAAACATCTTTAATGATTATTCCTGATTATAATCAGTCACTGTGAGCTTTTCATGCAGGCTGAACATGAAAATAGTCTCCTACACCTATTTCCTGCATCAGCTTCTGATAGAAAATAGATGGTGAAACTCCATCCATCCATTGTCTGAACCCGCTTTGTCCACCAAGGGTCGCGGGGGGGCTGGTGCCTATCTCCAGCGGTCAACGGGCAATCAGGCGGGGTACACCCTGGACAGAGAGCCAGTCCATCGCAGGGCAACACAGAGACACACAGGAAAAACTATCATGCACACACACACACATACACACACACACACACCTAAGGACAATTTAGACAGACCAATTAACCCAACAGTCATGTTTTTGGACTGTGGGAGGAAGCCGGAGTATCCGGAGAGAACCCACACATGCACAGGGAGAACATGCAAACTCCATGCAGAAAGATCCCAGGCCGGGAAGCGATTCCAGGACCTTCTTGCTGCAAGGCAACCGCTCTAACCACGCGCAGCCCTGGTGAAACTCTAGGATTTGAAAAGCCTGACAGATCTACATCACACTGTCACTTAATATTCATGGGTTCACCCATATTGACTCACGACAGGGAAGACTGTTGTTGGTTTGGTGTCCAGGAATCAGCAGAGAGCATCTCGACTACTGGAAGCTAACTGTTAGCATTAGCAACACCACCACACAGCAGAACTCCTCCAGGCTTTTGTTGTTTGTGGAGATAAAACATCCATGTTGCAAGTCAGCGGTAGAGTCGTGTCGCTGTTATCCAATTCGAGGCGAGAAGTCCAAATATCAGGAAATAAAGACTACAAGTCCTGCCTTGTGCCACCATATTCTGCTGCAGCAGACTTGTTTGTGCTGATCCAAGCGTTTCAGAGCTTTTTTTGCCCTGAGAACGGCTGCAAGGCGTGCATTCCTACCGGAGAGTACCACAAATGTATAGATTAAATGAGTGAACCACACTTTTAATGATCCAAACTGCTCTGTTCCCCCATTGTTACGTGACCACGGTAATTCTGATGTAGAGGACTTAAGAAAATAGGGATGGGTACCTTTGGCATTTGAATAGATTCGGTACTAAATCCCGGTACCTAGGAATCTATAACGGGGTACCAATTTTAGATACTTTTGAGTGTTTAATATTTTAATTCTCCTTTATAATAAAATACATATTTTTCTCAATATATAACCATATTTGATAAATATCACGATAAATAACATACAACTGTTTGTATTTTAACATCGTCCTTGTAGTTTTATAAGCTGATAATTAAACTGAAGCAAACATCTTTACTGTGAACTAAATTTACTGTGTATCTTCATTCCTTTTGCCGTCCTTTTTCTTTTGATTTTTCCTACTGGGAAGTTAGAATTTCCGAGGAGAAAGTGAACGCACCATTAGCTGATAACAACGGTGGCAGTGGAAGCTAATTTATCAAGCTAACGTTATCTTAAACAGTTTATTTAGCTGCTGGAGCAGATTAAAACGATGATGCCTCACACTTAGATCGTTGTCGCTGGTTTCATCATCACCCAATCACCCGTCGCATTTAGTAAAGTGAAGCCAAACTTTAGAGCGTGTTCATGTTGTTCTAGTCGGAAATTCGGAGTTCCGAGGAGAAAGCGAACGCACCATTAGCGGAACGGAAGCTAACATATCAAACTAACGTTATCTTAAACATTTTATTTACCTACCGGAGCAGATTAAGATGAGGATGTCTCACTTAGATCGTTGTCGCTGGTTTCATCATCACCCAGTTACCCATCACATTTAGTGAAGTGGACCCAAGCTTTAGCGTGCGTTCTTTCTACCATGCTGCTCTGTTTACAACTCGCTCGCAGCTACCGACGACATAACGCTCTTGCACATGCGCAGCTGTCTAGGCAAGTTCTCGTTATGAAGGACGGGTACCGAAACGAGGACCGTTTCAAATGACGTGAATCGGTGCTCAGTCGGTACTATGGAATTCGGTCGGTACCTTAAAAAGTACCGAATTCGGTACCCATCGCTAACAAACGTTTGGCTGCATTTAGTCAAATTAAATGGCAACGGGGCAAAATGCAACATCTGTGATAAGATTTATGTCACTAAATATGGAAAAAAAAACAGTAATTTGATATTTATTAAAGCAGTCATCGTTCTTGGCATCATTATCTAATCGTTGTCTTCCACTGCAGAGAGCAACACCCGACGTGTTATGCTCATTTCTCTGAAGGGAAATTGCTAGGACTCATTGTTTACAACTTATTTGTTTGGTTTATTGGGATCTGAACTTTTTCCCACATTTTTACAGTAGATGCTTCATATTTGTAACACCAAAGAATAGATAAATATTTTTATCATTCTTTTCTAAAAGGAAACATGTTTGTTCAGTTATAGTGTACTCTTTGCATCGGCGAGTTTGCTGTGTAAGACAAAACATTTGAGTACTTTGGGTTTTTTCTCTTTGTGGGTGAATGACCTAAAACCTTTTGTTTCCCTGCAGAGCTGCGACTTGTGGTCCCTCGGTGTGATCATCTACGTAATGCTGTGCGGCTATCCTCCGTTCTACTCCAAACATCACAGTCGCACCATCCCAAAGGACATGAGGAAGAAGATCATGACGGGCAGCTTTGATTTTCCCGAAGACGAGTGGAGCCAGATCTCTGAGATGGCGAAGGACGTCGTACGCAAGTGGGCCTTTGTGCTTTTTCCTCTTTTGAAAATCCTTTTTTTCCCTCTTGTCAGACAGTTGAGTCGTAAGCAGTGATGGGAATAACGGCGTTCAAATTAACGGCGTTCTTTTTTAGGTAACGGAATAATCTAATTAGTTACTTTTCCCACTGTTGCAACGCCGTTACCGTTACTGGTTGTGCGTTACTATGTGCTTGTCGAACGTTGAGCAACAGTGTGAGGCTTTCAGACCGCCACACTTCAGCTGCAGCCAGGGAGAGAGAGGTGTCGGTAACGCACTTACAAACACGATGATGATTGGCCGGGTGGGCGGAGACCCTCAGTGTCTCAGTCGCTGCATTCTGTAGACACAACAGAGCAGCGACGGGAATAACGCCGTTTAAAATAACCACGTTAATAAAAAAAAATATTTCTTTCAGTAACGAGCAAACTAATTAATTACCGTCTTTCATTTATCCAAACTTTGTTTCTGTTACTGATAAGGAAATGCGTGCGTTAAGCAGCACGGTGTTGAAGCTGTCATCAGCTGATCAGGAGCTAAAGAGGTAGATGTTTTCATCCAAGAGCATCACGGCCGTGAAGAACGAGGAAGACGTGATGAATAGTCTACGCCCTTCTTAGCGTGACAGCGGGACGTCCCGAAGGTCCGCTCACCTGTTCACCTCTCAGACGTCCTGATCTTCTACCTTCCTAGATCATCCAGCTGTAACCTGTTCCTGATCATGTCTTTAGTCCCGCTGTAACACTGATGCATCTGTCTCAGACGTCATGGAGCTCAGGTGTTATCAGAACTACCTGTGTGTGTTTACCACCCAGCTTCAGCTCTTCTGTGGTTGGGTCTGACCCAAGTTAGTAAATGCAAGTCCTCCATCAGGCTTGTGCCTCTTCTAGTGTCATTTTAAAGGATTTTATTTATTTATTTAACCGTTACTAGATTACCAGCAACAGAAATGCTGCTAAAAACACACAATTATGTGAAGCTGGAAAATTTTAAATACTGTACAAAATTACATTCATGTCTGCAATTTAACTAGACTGAGAGACCATTTAAAGGCTCGGGAACCTTTACAGGTGTTTCTATTTGCAAATTATAAATTTTAGCTGATTGGGGTCTTGTTAAATATCACACAGTGACCTTTTAATAGTCTACATAAGTGTAATGTTCCTGTTAGTAGTTCCTCCAGTTAAGTGCTCATTTATTGAAATTATTCAGGTTTATAAAAACATTTGGACATACATTTTATTAAGTTCCAGTCATTCGTCATTTATATTTCACTACTGTAGTAATTTATAGTAAATTAAGTTCATTTAACCCATTTTTCTAGCATTCTTTAATGAAAAAAGTAACTAAGTAGTTATTTTTCTTGGTAATTAGTTACTTTTATAATCTCGTAACTCAGTAAATGAGTTACATTTTTGACAAAGTAATTGGTAACTATAATTACTTTTTAAAGGTAAGTTTCCCAACACTGGTCGTAAGTGTGATGGTTCAAGTGGTAAAGAGTAAGAAACTGTAGGAAACTTAAACCTCGCATTACTCATGAAAAATGGTTTCATTCAATACAAGTTTTTATTTATTTATTTATTTTTTTAGTTTTTGTTCATCTCCAGTTTTCCACACCCGCTTTGATTAAACCTTCACGTTAATGCCTTTCATCTGCCTGCAGGCTGCTGAAGGTGAAGCCAGAGGAGAGGCTGACCATCGACGGAGTCTTGGCTCACCCGTGGTTGAACTGCACCGAGGCGCTCGACAACGTGCTGCCGTCCCCGCAGATGATGATGGACAAGGTGAGCTGGAACCGTGTTGACACCACAGACGAATCTTTTGTCCGTTTCCTCTGGACGTTATGGCGAGTCTGTGATGTTTTTCCAGGCCGTCGTGGCGGGCATCCAGCAGGCACACGCAGAGCAGCTGGCCAACATGAGAATTCAGGATCTGAGCGTCAGCCTGAAGCCACTAAACTCCGTCAACAACCCCATTCTCAGGAAGCGGAAACTGCTCGTGTATGATCAGTGTATTAATACGTTCATATTGCTGCACCGACGCTGTAGCTTTGTACGATTACGGTCTCATTTCAGACAAGTCCTTATTAGGAATCCTATGCTTATGTTTGCTCTTGGTTCTCGATGTTGCAGCCCCAAACCAACTGATGGCTTCTTGATTCATGACCCAGAAAATGGAGGGGAAGACTCCAACGTAGCGCTTGAAAAGCTAAGGGATGTTATTGCACAGTGCATACTACCACAAGCTGGTCAGTTGCTGCAAGTCCATCATTCTAAACACAGTTTAGCCTCATCTATTATTTTCTACAGAAAATGTGATTTTTTATGGGGTTTACAGAATTATACCAAATCTTGCTGACAGCAGAAATGCATAGACAGAATCCTCTGAGGTGAATATTTATGTTATTCCAGGAGAGAACGAGGATGAGAAGCTGAATGAGGTGATGCATGAAGCCTGGAGGATCAACAGAGACTGTAAGCTGCTGAGAGACGGTCTGCATGGACTCAGCTGGGACGGTCCGTACCTCTTTTCTTTGGTTTCAGAAAAAAATCTGAAAAGGACGGATTTGTATTTCTGATTTGGGTTGTGTGAAGTATAGTCAGGTCCATAAATATTGGGACGTCGACACAATGCTAACATTTTTGGCTCTATACACCACCACAATGGATCTCAGATGAAACGAACAAGATGTGCTTTAACTGCAGACTGTCAACTTTTATTTGACGGTAATTACATCCAAATCAGGTGATCGGTGTAGGAATTACAACAGTTTGCATATGTGCCTCCCACTTGTTAAGGGACCAAAAGTAATGGGACAATTGGCTTCTCTGCTGTTCCATGTCCAGGTGTGTGTTCTTCCCTCATTATTCCTATTACAATGAGCAGATAAAAGGTCCAGAGGTCATTTCAGGTGTGCGATTTGCATTTGGAATCTGTTGCTGTCACGATGAGATCCAAAGAGCTGTCACTATCAGTGAAGCAAGCCATCATTAGGCTGAAAAAACAAAAGAAACCTATCAGAGAGATGGCAAAAACATTAGGCGTGGCCAAAACAACAGTTTGGAACATTCTCAAAAAGAAGGAACGCACCGATGAGCTCAGCAACACCAAAAGACCCGGAAGACCACGGAAAACAACTGTGGTGGATGACTGAAGAATCCTTTCCCTGGTGAAGAAAACACCCTTCACAACAGTTGGCCAGATCAAGAACACTCTCCAGGAGGTAGGTGTGTCTGTGCTAAAGTCAACTATCAAGAGAAGACTCCACCAGTGTGAATACAGAGGGTTCACCACAAGATGTAAACCATTGGTGAGCCCCAAAAACAGGAAGGCCAGATTAGAGTTTGCAAACATCTAAAAAAGCCTTCACAGTTCTGGAACAACATCCTACGGACAGATGAGGCCAAGATCCACTTGTACCAGAGTGATGGGAAGAGAAGAGTCTGGAGACGGATCCGAAGCATCCCACCTCATCAGTGAAGCATGGTGCTGGAAGTGTCATGGCGTGGGCATGTATGGCTACCAGTGGAACTGGTTCTCTTGTATTTATTGATGACGTGACTGCTGACAAAAGCAGCACGATGAATTCTGAAGTGTTTCGGGCAACATCATCCGCTCATATTCAGCCAAATGCCTCAGAACTCGTTGGACGGCGCTTCACAGTCCAGATGGACAGTGACCCAAAGCATACTGCAAAAGCAACTTAAGAGTTTTTGAAGGGAAAGAAGTGGACTGTTCTGCAATGGCCAAGTCAATCACCTGACCTGAATCTGATTGAGCGTGCATTTCAGTTGCTGAAGACAAAACTGAAGGGAAAACGCCCCAGGAACAAGCAGGAGCTGAAGACTGTTGCAGTAGAGGCCTGGCAGAGCATCACCAGGGATGGAACCCAACGTCTGGTGATGTCTACGTGTTCCAGACTTCAGGCTGTAATTGACTGCAAAGGATTTGCAACCAAGCATTGAAATTTATAAGTTTGATTAATGGTTCTTATTCTGTCCCATTAGGCACATTTGCAAACTGTTGATTCCTACACCGTTCACCTGATTTGGATGTAAATACCTCAAATAAAAGCTGACAGTCTGCAGTTGAAGCACAACTTGTTCATTTCATCTGATATCCATCGCGGTGGTGTATAGAGCCAAAAATGTTATGTCCCAATATTTATGGACCTGACTGTAGGTTTAGGTAGTCGGCATCTTAAGCCGGGCGTACACTGTGCGACTTTTTCACTTTTTTGAGCCGATTTTCCACTCGTGCGAGAATCCACGACATCGGGGCGAGTTTTGCGCTGAGCGTCGTGTAGTGTACAGGGGGTTACGAGAGGCGATTAACACCACGTGACCAGCTACCGATCAGCAGTCGTGAGGTCGCACGGACTTCTGGCGTGTTTAAAATTTCGCTCGTCCCTCGTGAGGGTATCGCACTGTTGAAGCGGCGCTGCGAGCAGCTGCGACCCAAAAAGTACCAGAACCGCACACGGCGCATGCGCAATCATGCATCAACGCCGCTCGCTATTTCCCTAATAACACACGTTGTTCCTTTTTTGTTTCTACACATTTTTTTTACTCACAAAGATTATCAAGAAAGCGTGTTTGTCGTGTTCATGTCAAATTAAACTGATCACAAAACACAGATTTACTTTCTTTATTTCGTTTTCCTCATCCAACCCCCATAAATCCCTGTGTGTCCTCCTGCAGCACTCCCGAAGGACAACAGGCAAAACAAGACAAAAAAGTTTGACGTGTTGAGTAAAAACTGCTATTTTTAGCATATTTTTAGGGCCGACGTGTTGCTACCAGACGTACAGTGTGAGCAGTCAGGTCGCATGCGAGAACTGGGTCGTGCAGTGTGAGCACACGACTCGTGAGATCTGCCCTGCGAGGAAGTCGTACAGTTTGAGCTGAAGCTGAGTGCTACGAGTGAAAAAAATGTACAGGTACGCCCGGCTTTACATGCAGCAGATCTCAGGTCTCACCCCGGCTTTCCACTGGATGTGTAAGAGGCGCGTAGCGTAATAGACGTGTTTTATTCACAAGCTCCCTTCCCATCAGGAGCATTTCAGGTGTAACATGGCAGCAAAAGCGATCCATGCATAATTTAGACTGTTCACTCGATAACGAGCAAGGACCGTGACTACGGAGGTTTCACAGGAAATGACTGAGTTTTATTTTTTATTTTTTTATTGGTTAAGCAACCCGAATTCTACAAGTGATTTTTATTTAGAAAGTTTGTGGATGTATTACACAGCTTTTGTGTTTGACTTCCTGTCTGGCCCAATCTGAACTGATGAGCTAGATGGTTCTGGAAGCGTAGCACATAAAACAAAAACAGCCTCAAAAGTGTACATTTGGTGCAGCGGTGCATCACTACGCTTCTGGGCCTCGTGCAGAACGATCCACTAGAACGATGGCTAACTGTGCTTCACGAACGTTAAGCCTGGTTCATGCTTCTCCGTCAGCTCCGCAAGCGACAGACACGCACGGATAGACGGAAGCGTTTTGCTCTCGTACTTCTCCGTCTCCTGGAGAGTGTTGCAAAGCAATTCCAGGGCAGGACAGCAGAGGGCGTAGCGCTGTTCTGTGGTATCCTGTCATGTATCGGTCCAAGATGGTGTGTTTATATTGTGTTTTTTTGTATATAAGAGACTTTTTAACACAGACATATTTGTCTCTCATTCTCCTCCACCTCTTCATGCGCTCCCCACCTCTAAACCCACGTTTCCTGTCATTTCCGTCCATAAATAAAACGCTTGCTGCGCATCTTTTCTCTCCTCCAGTCACGGGGAATTAAACGTTCATGTTTTTAGAGTTTTTTTCGCGAGGTATTCTTCAAGCTGCTCCATGTCTGCCGCTTGTTATCCTCGGTTCTCTCTATGTTTTTGAGGGCGCAATGGCGGCGGTGTAGACGACAGCGGCGTCCTGACCAATCACAAGCTTGCGTTGTCCGTCTCGACTGACGGATGTTTAGAAAAGAGAGCTCGACTCCGTCCGTCCTTGCGGAGCTCTCCAGCAGGCCCGCAAGGACGTTGCGTGTCTCCGCGCTGTCGGAGACGCATGAATCAGGCTTTACTCGTCTGGGGGAATGTTGGTTCTTTTTTATTTATTTATTTTTTCTAACTGTATTCTGTATTTATATGCTCACCAAGCCTTTAACTGGGAGTATTTTCTTTGCAGGGCGAGCCTTCTCTGATAAAGTCGACCGATTGAAGCTGGCAGAAATATTAAAACAGGCTATCGAAGAGAAGACGACCCTTCAGGAATCTCATTAGCAAACGTTGTTTCTACCCATCTCTTTTTATATTGTTTATTATATAATATTTCTTATTGCCCTTTTTAACTCCTATCTGTAAAAAAAAGTTGTTTTATGTCAAATGATGTGCTTTTTTTTCCTTTTTCATACATTTATTTGTAAGATCTATTGTTGCTAGAGCTATTGTAAAGCTGTAGATGTATTTGAAAAAAATCAATTGGTACTATCTTTTTTTTTAAATAGACAATGGCAAAAGATCATAGAAAATATATTTTCTGTTTTGCAAAAAAAAAAAAAAAAACGATAAAGGAAATGTGTGAAACTATTTTTGGGGAGGGAATTTTTAATAGCTGCTCATCTAAGATGCCGTGTTTGTTTTATTCCCATTTATTTTAATTTTATTTTGACCACTCTAAAAGTTTTATTTATTTAAACCAAAATAATTCCAATCGTTTCTACCTTTCTTGTAGCTCGATAGTGGCTCTGAGGTTTACAGAAGTGGTCTCCGTCGTGTTCTTCCGCCCTCTGCCTGCAGGCAGAAGAAACCTTTCCTTTGGGGACTTAAAAGTGTCATAGAGCAGAAAAATGCAGCTTTCCGTTTCGTTCATCTTGCTCCCACCCCTCTTAGCTTACTCAGATCCAATATGCATTTGAAAAGTCTTTGAAAACTTGAAGGTTTTATTTTCATGTGAAACTAAATTTATTAAAAAACCCATTTTTTTTAGCTTCTGAGAAAAACCATCTGTTAGTGGATTAGTCGTTCTTATCGCCTTTAAAACTACCGTAATTTCCGGACTTTAGAGCGCACCTCAATATAAGCCACATCGGGCTAAAAGCCGCAGATATCCACTGAATTGAAAACGTAGTTTGTCAGTGTTGCTCTCCGTGTTGCTGTCATCATCCCAGGGTGAAGCGGTGAAAACACGCAGCGCTGTTAAACTGTGAAAAAATCCTCCGGGGCGCTTTCCGTAGCACTCCTTTCCAGCATCCATCCTTTTAAAGCTGCGCACCTCATTATAAGCCGCGTTCAAAGCGTGGGAAAAAGTAGCGGCTTATAGTCCGGAAAATACGGTAAAATCATCTAAACTCTGGATCTCAGTGGATAAAGCTCACAGATGCTGCGTTTTTCATTTAAAGCTAAAAACTGATCAAAATGGCTAATAAAAGCTAAATTAATGGACATAAAATATTGTCTCCATGTAAAAAAATAGCATTAGCAATAGCATTACTTTGGCCAGTGGCGTGTCCAGATCTTTTAAAATGGGGTGGCCCTGGTGAGGCACAACTTTGTGCATGGGTGGCACCAGTGGTTATGCTTTTTTGTTTTACCCCCAAGCCTTTTGTGGACAATGAAAAGTCTATTTAAAGGTAAATTAGTGTGGTGGCACCTGGGGTGGCCAATCAGATTCCAAGGGTGGCATGTGCTACCCCAGGCCACTCCCTGGACACGCCCCTGACTTTGGCCTTACTCGGACTGAAAGATCAGAAGTGGATGTTCTGCTCAGTGGGCAAAAAGGAGATCATTTAAAATGTGTTGATCCCAGATTTCTGACAGGGAAATCCTCACCGCCTGCAGTCATGAGTTTATTTATAGGAGTGGTGTAAAGAAGGGATTTCTTTAATTAACCAAAAATCAGTTTGTGTTATTTTGAATTTGTCTTTCGTACGTTACGCTTCTCAACTCCAGTAATCCAGTTTTGTTTGTATGCATTTTGCTTTTGTTTGTAATCAAACGGTTTGTTTTTACCGAACAGCGACGCCATCGCTGCGGTCCCAGATGAATGGAAGGTCACTGGTGTCTAAAAAAAGCCTCATCTTGTAGCTAAAGAAAGATGTTTTTGATATTACAGCAGAGCTGATGATTTTTACGTTTTGAACTGGCACAAAGAAAAAAACGTCTTCCTGAATGTGAGTAAAGATTTCAGTTTCTCTTAAAAAGCTAAATGACAAAAGGTTTGTGGTTGAAAAGGCCTTATAGTTTAAGACAATGTGCCTTGAATGGGCAGCATATCCGTTCATTTACTGCTGTCATTTAAATTTTTTAATACAAGTTTCAGACTGATTTACTTGTTTTCCTGTGAAGGTTTTCATTCCATTGAGCGTATTTGGTGACTATGAAAATGAAACTAAAATCATGTTTGAGAATGAAAAGAAGAAATCTGATCATTTAAGTGCATTTTTCTGCTCAGATATTTAAAAATCCATCTTGACCTTTGGGGGAAACGATCAGCATTTATTGAATTTGAAGCTTCTTGGCTTGATACAGATGAACGGAGCTTTTCATATCTTTCTCAGAGCATCATTGCAATGCCAAATGAGTATTTTTGTAATTTAAAGCCAAGGCATGCATTTCCTATCAGTATGCATGTAGGATATTAATGTTCCCCAACTGTGAAAACCCAAATGGAAACATGCTGTTGCACTGAGGCTGAAGTTTATTCTCTACCTGCAGGCTTTTGGATTAACAAAGGCACATTTACAGTGGTGTGAAACCATTTGCCCCCTTCCTGATTTTTTATTTCTTTGCATGTTTGTCACACAAAATGTTTCTGAACAAACACATTTAACCATTAGTCAAAGATAACACAAGTAAACACAAAATGCAGTTTTGAAATGATGGTTTTTATTCTTTAGGGAGAGAACAAATCCAAACCTACATTGCCCTGTGTGAAGAAGTAATTGCCCCCTGAACCTAATGACTGGTTGGGCCTCCCTTAGCAGCAATAACTGCAATCAAGCATTGGGGATAACTTGCTACGAGTCTTTTACAGCGCTCTGGTGGAATTTTAGCCCACTCATCTTTGCAGAACTGTTGTAATTCAGCTTTATTTGAGGGGTTTCTAGCATGAACCGCCTTTTTAAGGTCATGCCATGGCATCTCAACAGGATTCAGGTCAGGACTTTGACTAGGCCACTCCAAAGTCTTCATTTTGTTGTTCTTCAGCCAGTCAGAGGTGGATTTGCTGGTGTGTTTTGGGTCCTTGTCCTGCTGCAGCACCCAAGATCGCTTCAGCTTTAGTTGACCAACAGATGGCCGGACGTTCTCCTTCAGGATGTTGTGGTAGACGGTAGAATTCATGGTTCCATTTATCACAGCAAGCCTTCCAGTTCCTGAAGCAGCAAAACAATCCCAGACCATCACACTACCACCACCATATTTTACTGTTGGTATGATGTTCTGTCTGAAATGCTGCGTTACTTCTACGCCAGATGGAACGGGACATTTGCCTTCCAAAAAGTTCTACTTTTGTCTCATCAGTCCACAAGGTCTTCTCCCAAAAGTCTTGGCATCCATTGAGATGTTTCTTAGCAAAATTGAGACAAGCCCTAATGTCCTTTTTGCTTAACAGTAGTTTGAGTCTTGGAAATCTGCCATGCAGGCCATTGTTGCCCAGTCTCTCTCTCATGGTGGAGTCATGAACTTTGACCTTAATTGAGGCAAGTGAGGCCTGCAGTTCTTTAGAAGTTGTCCTGGGGTCTTTTGTGACCTCTCGGATGAGTTGTCTCTGCGCTCTTGGGGTAATTTTGGTCGGCCGCCCACTCCTGGGAAGGTTCACCACTGTTCCATGTTGTTGCCATTTGTGGATAATGGCTCTCACCGTGGTTCGCTGGAGTCCCAAAGCTTTAGAAATGGCTTTATAACCTTTACCAGACTGAAAGATCTCAATTACTTTTGTTCTCATTTGTTCTTAAATTTCTTTGGATCTTGGCATGATGTCTAGCTTCTGGTCTACTTCTCTGTGTCAGGCAGCTCATATTTAAGTGATGTCTTGATTGAAACAGGTGTGGCAGTAATCAGGCTTGGGGGTGGCTACAGAAATTGAACTCAGGTGTGAAACACCACAGTTGGGTTATTTTTTAACAAGGGGGGCAATTACTTTTTCACACAGGGCAATGAAGGTTTGGATTTGTTCTCTCCCTAAATAATAAAAACCATTTCAAAACTGCATTTTGTGTTTACTTGTGTTATCTTTGACTGATGGTTAAATGTGTGTGATGATCAGAAACATTTTGTGTGACAAACATGCAAAAGAATAAGAAATCAGGAAGGGGGCAAACAGTTTTTCACACCACTGTAATTTGTCTCCATTGCTTCCATTCCCCAGGATGTTGTTCTAATTTACCATTAAGCATTTTAAAACAAGGTTTTTCCTCGTAATTTGGCATCTAATGTAAGGAGGAGGAATTTGTAATAAAATAAGTTCCTAACTGCTGAAAGCAAATGAAAATTTAGTGATTTCATCTTTTTTTTTCCCCTCTTTTCCATCTGGCGTTAAGTTTATGTAGCATGAATCCCTCAAAGACTTCTGTACTTTCTGCCTTCTTGGAATGTCAACATGCTGACTTTTTAATAAATTGTTCAAATAAAAAAGCAATCATGGCAATTATTCCTTTCAAATGTTTATATTTATGAACTTTAAGTGGCCTTTATCCTACAAGTCAAATATGTTGTAGTAGTGGTTCAAATTAACCGTAAAATGCCAAATTTGTGATTCAAGTATCCTTTAACAGGATTAGTACTTTCCTAACCAGCTCTCTTCTGCCCCCTAGTAGAGGATTTTATGCAGGTGTCAAGTGCCTTTCTAGCTGTTGCATTCAGACATCATACGTAGACACCCCATGGACTGGATATGCCATAGTGGCCGGCCGCCATCTTAGATGGGTCTCCATTTGCTCCCAGTGCCTTTATTTCTGCTGAAGGTGTTTACCCAACTAAAAACACATTTAAAGTTTTTTCACAAAATCTGATATACTGTATGGCATGAAAGTTTAAATATAAACATTACATAAATTACAATATAAAATCCCAACAGGTAGGCTGGAAAAGTCCCATGTGATCCATTTTAAATAGTACGCTGGTTGTTGCAACCGTAGGCTGTACAAAAAATGGGCATATTTGCTCACTGTTGCGTTTGGAGTGAGAAGACCCACCCAATATGGCGGTGAAGCGGTTATGGTCTCCAGCACCCAATGGGTGTATTGATGTCTGGTTGTATTAAAATAGTTTACAATGCCAAAAAAGGTAAATGCTTGTTCAGAATATTCGCTGCTACTACTATAAATTGTAATAAATTAGCCAAACATCTAATTTTAAATATATAGGTATTTTTATTTCATGTCAAACATTAAAGATTTAAAAAATGTTTTTATGACATTGGAATTTTTTTTATTGCAGACTGAAACGAGCAGAAATCAAGACACACACACACACACACACACACACACACACACACACACACACACACACACACACACACACACACACACACACACACACACACACACACACACACACACACACACACACACACACACACACACACACACACACACACACACACACACACACACACACACACACACACACACACACACACACACACACACACACACACACACACACACACACACACATAATTAAGGCACTTAAAAAAAAGATCTTTGTTAATCTGAAATTTGCTCCCATGACAGAAACCAACCATCAAACGCAGAAGAGATTAGAGTGTTTCAGATGAGTTCTTCAGCGACACGGATCTGAGAGCAGATCCGTGCCGCCACTGGAAATGTTCCAACAGACCAGAACAGTAACTGATTACCGTCATGCAAGACTGTTTACCCATTTAAGCCCATAGAGCCACATCACAAAGAACATCTGCCAACCTCTCGGTTAAATACACCAGTAATTTGCCGCTTAAATGTACAAAGTTGTGATGAGATTAAATCTTTTAATCTGCACTGGCACTTCCATCTTAATAGGTTAAATATAATAATCTGTGTTTGGAATGTGTCTCTTTAGAAGCTTTGGTCATTTTCCTCCATTCTGCCCTCAGTGCGTTTGCTCCTGATGCTCTGAGACAAATTCCTGGCAAACAGGAAAACCGCTAACCGGATTAAAATCAGGGTTTTGAAACTCACACTGACAAGGATGTGGAGGGCTGAGAACTAAAGTGTTTTTGAGCCAAATATCTGACCTAGAATGGAGTTGCAGTGACAGCAAGTCCATTTTAAGCCTGGAGTAAAACTTATGTTCCAACTCCACAAAAGTGATGGAAAACGATGAAGATGTTTCATAACTGGGTTGGGAAGGGCTCAGTCGGAGTCTTCATCGTCCAAATACTCTTCAGCGTTGCTGTGTGTGCGGGTGAAACCTGAAAAAGGACAAATGAAACGTTAGGCGCATTTTCTCCAGCTTTCCAAACCAAACACATTCTCTGTTGCACATAATTGACATAAATAAATCACGGTGACGTATGCAAGTGTTGCTTCACAGCTTCAGCAGAACTTACTGGTTCCCTGCTTCCTTTTGAGGAGTGAAGCACACTGAGCATTGGTGGCCATCTCGAGAGCTAGTTTATTCTCGTTGTTTCTGATGTCCGTCCTCGCATCTGAAACAAAGTCAATTGTTCAAAAAAGATCCAACGACATCAAAGCAAATGTGTGAAACATTGAAACCAGAGTTTAACGGCGAATCACATTTAGTTACATAGCGCCTGCCACACGGGTTGTCACGATACTAAAATTTCAAACTCGATTCGATATTGGGAAAAAAACTCGATACTCGATTTCGATACTATTTAAAAACACCAATTTATTGAACAAGTTTATTCAAAAAATAACATTCCTCAATTTATATTGCAAAAATTAAATGTTAATTAAGTGTGTAAAGTGCTTAAACCTTTCAAGTATCAGCATTTTTTTAAAATGTGCATACAAAAACTGGCGAAAGTTAACACTTTAAATCATGAATTGTCTCACTATAGATACACTATTTGCAGAGTGATGTTTTGCTGCTTAAACTCTGTTTAAGGTGCATTTTTGTCATAAGATGTAATGCCGTATGTTTTGTTCTGTACTTTTGAACAACTCTGTTGGTCAATAAAGGGAGAAAACAAATTTCTCCACAGTAGGACAAAGGTACATCTACCGGTAATCTTAATAAAAACAGACTGGCGCACGGCAGTGACATCATTAAAAGCGCCGGTTAGATTAGCCGCGACTGGTCTATTTACGCCTAGAAATCCCAGACTCGCTCCAAACGAACAGGGGAATCATGTTAATGATTCCTAACAAAACCTTTCAACATGGAGATGTTTTGGTGCAGATAATGTCTTATTTCGAGGCTGCACCATGGGTGCCCGTCCGCACCCGTTATATGGATATACACTGATGGCGATTCGCCGATGGATCTAAATACCCCGGGGAATCCAAGTAGCACCAAAGTTGTCAGCGTGAGTAAACAAAGGTACTGCAAGCTAGAAATTAAGTCCGGGTTGCAATAAACTTGAGTTTCCTTTAAGCACATAAGCGTGAATATACAACTACGTGTCGGACTTGGTATGCTAATTAAGTTGGGCTGTGAAGCGCCTCCCAAATTCGCTGTTTATGTTTTTGTTTATTTATTTGGCAGACAAAACTTGGATCGGAGACAACTCGCGTGGGAAATTGCTATGTAGCCATGCAGCGTCGTCTTCTTCTGTTTGTCTGGGAGGCGGAGGCTGCTTTACGGCATCTGGCTGTCGTGCGTGTCGGTGTACTTGGAGAAGGCTGTGTATAATAGTCCATAATATCGATACCACAGGGATGGAATATCTTATTTAGATACCACTTTTAGCATCGATTTATATCTAGGTATCGATTTTTTTGACAACACTACCTGCCACACCTGTCAGGTCATCCAAAGCACTGCAAAACTTAAAATCACGATCAAAACCAAAAAAAAAAAAAAAAAACCAGAGCGTTGGAGCCAACATTTAGTGCACTTAGCGTGTGTAACAGCGAGTTTAACGCAGACAACCAAAGTGCCCATGACGGGAGGTGTCTGTGCAGCACTGGGACCAGCACTGCCTTAAAGACATAAACCAGGAAATGCACCAGAAGTCAGTGCAACGTCACCAGGACAGGCGCCATGAGCTTCCATGTCTTTACCCCTGTTAAAAACCTTACTCCAGCACACAGAATTACACTAATCCAGTCTCGTAATAAAAGCATTAATCCTAGACATGACCTCGCAAACAAATCCTCAACTTGTCATCATTGTGCATCACAGAAGTCATTAAGGTTCTGAAGCAGCAGAGCAGCTCCAGACCATCACACTGCCACCACCACAGCCGGGCTTCCACATTGGGCTCGCTCCTCCGAGTCGTCGTCTCCAAACAATATCGGCCCTTTTGGGATTTTGCCAAGACGTCGGCGTATCACGACCGTTGCAGCAGTGAGTCAAGTCACTAATCGGTGCCAAAAGGCGTCCATTAAAACATTAAAGTTTCATTCAAAGTTTGCTGTGATTTAATCCACTGAGGGGTTGGGGAGAGAGGCTGTGTGTAAATTACAGCGTTGTCGAAGCTTTTCACTGCATTTTCTGGATTTGGGAGTTGATGAATGGCGATTTTAAAGCAGCATCAATGCTGCTTATCATCTTCCAATTGTACAAATACCAGCTGCCAACGTCTACTCATATCATTTTCTAGTGAGTACCAATCAGCATGAGTTAAGCCGGGCAGACACTGTGCGACTTTTTCACTTTTGAGCCGATTTTCCACTCGTGCGAGAATCCACGAGATCGGGGCGAGTTTTGCGCCGAGCGGTCGTGTAGTGTACAGGCGGTTACGAGAGGCGACGAACACCACGTGACCAGCTACCGATCAGCAGTCGTGAGCTCGCACAAACTTCTGGCGTGTTTGATATTTCGCTCGTCCCTCGTGAGGGTATCGCACTGTTGAAGTGGCGCTGCGACCCAAAAAGTATCAGAACCGCTCACGGCGCATGCGCAATCCTGCATCAACACCGCTCGCCCGCTATTTCCCTAATAACACACGTTGTTTGTTTTTATTTCTACACGTTTTTTTACTCACAAAGATTGTCAAGAAAGCGTGTTTGTCGTGTTCGTGTCAAATTAAACTGATCACTAAACACAGATTTACTTTATTTCGTTTTCCTCATCCAACCCCCATAAATCCCTGTGTGTCCTCCTGCAGCACTCCCGAAGGACAACAGGCAAGACAAAAAAGTCTGACGTGTTGTGTAAAAACTGCTATTTTTAGCATATTTTTAGGTCCGACGTGTCGCTACCAGACGTACAGTGTGAGCAGTCAGGTCGCATCCGAGAACTGGGTCGTGCAGTGTGAGCACATGACTCGTGAGATCTGCCCTGCGAGGAAGTCGTACAGTTTGAGCTGAAGCTGAGTGCTACGAGTGAAAAAGTCGCACAATGTCCGCCCGGCTTTAACCACAAGTCCCACCCAGTGACTACTAGACCCTTTTCTAGTGCAGGCACTCAGCTGGTCCCTGAAATAGCCCGGGAGATGGACCTTATAAAGTTTCCCAGATAGTGGAAACGTGCCTACTGTTTAAAATGTTCTTTTTCTGAAATGAAGTGTTTGACGTAGCAGGGCCAACTCTCAACTAGATCTACTTTTGTCTCCTGGGACCATGACCTCTGACCTTAGCCTGAACAAAGACTTGCAGTGCTTTGGATGTTGGATTTCTCTAGAATGGGGCATGATTTTTATTTTTTTTTGAATTTTTAGATCTTTTCTCAATGCTGACAAGGTCTATTGAACTGATCTCTTACATTTACAGGTGCGGCAGTAATCTAGCCTGGATTAAGAGAATTAAACTGAACTCAGCTTCCCAAATAATGCAGTTAATCAGAGATATTTCATAGTTGAATGAAGTGGGCAGTTACTTTTTATCATAGGAAAAGAACTCCGGTTATATTTTAGTCCAATATTTAAATATATTTACTGATCGGACACATTTAAAATGCATCAGAAAAGCTGCATTTGTTAAACATCTGTAACGGTCCAAATCCCTTTTGTGCAGCTCTGTAGGTTTAATGACCTTCTGGACTGAATTTTTTAATGTTTTGATGAACTCACTCTTGTTCAGCAGCATTTCCACGATATCAGAATAACCTTTCCAGGCAGCAGCGTGCAACGGTGTGTCTCCAAGTTTATTCTGAAACACAAAATCAACAAAATCTGTAACCAACATTTTGGCTTCTTCTCACAAAACTACAGAAATATTCTAATGGAATTTGTACATTTAATATTTGGATTTGTTATTTGTTTTTCTTTGTTTACGGTTTGTTGGAGAATGAAGCCTCTGGTACTTCCACTCCCGTTCGGAGTAACACACACAAACACTTCATTTTCATCGTATAGCTCAAATAACATTAAACATGGACAAATACAGACAAAAAGACTAATTCTGTCTTGATTATAATTTCCATGAACATAGCAAAATGTATTATGTTTATGTATTTAGCAGACACTTTTGTCCAAAGCGACTTACAGGTGATAATCAAGCTGGCAGGTTGCCCTTGAGGCTAACAACAAACACTATTCAGTCAATAGGTGGCAGTGAGGCAGCATAATCAATCACAGAGGGGGGTGGGTGCAGGGAGGGTTCTAGTTAAGAAGATGCTCTCTGAAGAGCAGGGTCTTCAGGAGTTTCTTGAAAATTGAAAAGGAAGCTCCTGTTCTGGTAGTGCTTGGAAGGTCATTCCACATTTGTGGAACGATGCATGAGAAGAGTCTGGATTGTCCTGAGCGTGGTGTAGGCACTGCTAGCCGACGATCCTGTGATGACCGGAGCGGCCGGGCCGAGACGTAAGCCTTTGCAAGAGGATTCAGGTAGATGGGACCCGTACCATCTCGGACTTTGTATGCTAGTGTTAGCAATTTGAATTTGATGCGTGCTGCTAGCGGTAGCCAGTGGAGCTCAATGAACAGAGGGGTGGCGTGTGCTCTTTTTGGCTGATTGAAGACCAGATGCGCTGCTGCGTTCTGGACCATCTGAAGAGGTCTCACAGCACAGGCTGGAAGACCAGTTAGAAGGGCATTGCAGTAATGGAGGCGGGAGATGACAGTAGATTGCACCAGGAGCTGGGTGGCATGTTGTGTTAGGTATGGTCTGATCTTTCGTATGTTATACAGCGCAAAGCGGCATGAACGAGCAACAGAGGCAACGTGATCTTTAAAGGTCAGCTGGTCATCAATCCCAACACCCGAGTTAAAACATCATTTAGTGAAAAGTACCTTTCCACAGAAACATCTAGTACTTTCTCTCCAGTTCCGTTTTATCATGATTGGTCAGGACTGATTCATTAAAGCCACCTCACCTGCTGGTTGACCTCCACGCTGGGCTGGCTTAGCAACAACTCCACCACATCTGGCAGAAAAATAACAGCATATGTATTGAGTTGTATCAGAGGGAAAAGTAAATGACCAATTTCTCTGTTTTGGTCACTTCACAAGCATCACAACCGACATTTAAAAATCCGTGAAATAAACGCGTGAAAATGCAGCTTTTTTACCTTTATGTCCACCGTGACATGCCCAGTAGAGGGCAGTGTTTCCTGCCTTATCCAGCCCGTTGATTCCAACCTTGTTGTCCAGACATTCCCTCAGCCAGCTTATGTTGCCTGTTCCCAAACATATGCAATCAAACCGCCGTTGTTATCGTTACAGGACAGAGGACACGAGAGAAGAGAAAAACTAAATAAATCTAAATTTTAACACACCTCGTTTGGCTGCTTCATGCATCGGATTATCGATAGATTCAGCTTGTTCTGCCACTAAAACAAAATACAATTGCACACTGTAAGTAAATAAACAGAACAACATTATTTAGGGGAAGATGGCTCTTTACTGACCGTAGTTACTCGGAATTAGTCCCGTCCTTCCTCTACATGTCCCCTTCCACCAGTTACTGTCACTCTGGAAATAAGATATTTTTTACACGACATTAAATAAGAATGAAAATAGATTGACAGTAGAAAAGCAATCCTATAAAAGGAGAGACATGGAAGTCAAAGAGTGCAAGTTTACTTATTTATAAAAGAGGAAAAGTAACTTCAGGTTCAAGATTTCGGGAGTAAAACAGCTCAAGTCTGAGGGGTTTTTTTTTTTACACTTACCGTGTCTGAGATGTACAAAATGTCTCCTTCTTCAAAGTACAACTCATCTGGCTGCAAAAGTAACAAAATAACATGAACGTGATGTAGTGTTTGTCTAATTTAAACTTTTGTACTTTTTCCAATTAAAAATTAAAGAAAATGTGGTTTCAAAGAAGGATTTGTACCAATATTTGATAAAAACTTTACCCCGCTTTTCCACCGGATGCGTAAGCGGCGTGTAACGTAATAGCCGTGTTTTACCTTCAGCCCTGGTGGCGCCGGCCTACCCACTGGGAGTGTTTCAGATTAGCGATGGTATACCAGTATCGTATCGGTAAAAGTTAACCGATACCAGGAACCGATACCAATGCAGTTGCTTGCAAATGGCTTTCACTGTAACTTGTCATTTCTGTTCACCTAATATTTTACTTTTGTGATGATTTCCATTCATACATTTTACTTTTTACGTACCTCACAGTCTTTTCCTGTTGAAAGCAGAGAAGAAAATAAAATCTGTATTCCAAATCATTGCTTTTTTTTGTGTGGTGGAAGTATCGGTAATCGGTATCGACGAGTACTCAGATCCAAGCATCGGTATCGTATCGGTTTGGAAAAAAGTGGTATCGTTGCATCCCTAGTTCTGAGGAGTATAACCAACATTCAAAAGTCAAATGGATGGATAACTCGGATGCAGAGGACCTGAGTTCAAATCCAGGTTTGCACATAAGACATTTTGGCTCAGTAGTCAAAATGTATTTATTTTTTTACAATAATACATCCATACAGTAATAAGACGCCCAAATTTTAATTAACGTCAAAAAGACGTGTTGAAAGACGTCTGTTCAACTGTTATTTTGTACAAGTATCGGTACTGGTAATCGGTATCGGCGAGTACTCGGATCCAAGTATCGGTATGGTATCGGTTTGGAAAAAAGTGGTATGGTTGCATCCCTATTTCAGATGCTAATCAGCAGCAAAAGCGATCCACGCAGCTGGTCCCGCTAGGTTACGAAACCACCAGAGAGTTGCACGGTTCACGCGTCCAGAAAAGTCTGTCGTTTATTGTCTGATCCGTTTACCTCACCTACAGAAGCTTTACAGGAAAGGGTGTACTTTAAAAAAAAACTAGCTAAGAAAGTAGAAATCTGCATGTGACTTTTATTTTGAAAGTTTCCAGATGTTTTACACTGCACCCAGGTTTGACTTCCCATCTGGCCTGATCTGAACTGCTGAGGTTTATGTATTCTGGAAGCGTAGCGCGTAAAAATTTGACTTGAAGTGTAAATTTAGCAGGGCAACGAGACACCATTACAAAATTAAGCTAAATACTTTGTTTATCTTCGAGATAAACATGAAGGCCAAATTCTGTAACTACAGGTCAGAGGTGCACAAGTATGTGAAATTGGTATAGGCCCTAAAAAATTTTTTTTTATTAAATCAGTGCATTCATTATCAAAATCCAATTAGGTTATTTTATATTTTCTCAAGTCATATTTTTCTTGTTTGTTTTTAATGGTTAATGGCTAAATGACTAACAATAACGTAATAAACATGGAAAGTAGGGCTGGACGATATAGAAAAAAAGTATATGGATAACAATTTTTTATATTGATCAATAGATAATTACTGAAAACTATTTTAAAAATTGTAGAGAATACATTTTATGCGCATCCCTGGCCATTTTGTTTTTGGTATTTTTAGTTTTTCTCCACCTCTTCTTGCGGAGACATCTTGCTGCCTCGTGCTCCGTTTTGGCTTGAGACGTAGTGTGCCCGAGTCTGGTTCTGATTGGTTAGGAGTAAGTAGCGAGTCTAGTATGCTGCTACCAGATAGGTTATAATGAAAAAAGGAAACTTATTTATCAAAGTTTTATCGACTCGTTTATTTTTTTTCTATCGCACTACATGTCTATCGATAGATGTATTGAACTATTGAATTATCGTCCAGCCCTAACGGAAAGAAAAAAAACTCATCGGTTATTGGAATAAACATTAAAAGTTCTTACTGTTCTGGGGTCGAAGGTGAACAGCGCTCTAAACACCTTGACTTGGCCTGAAAAAGACAGAACAGTTTTTTTTCAGGGTGAAACATGAATTTGTGTCCGTTCCTGCTTGGAGGAGAGATGGTGAACAGAGCACACGTGTGGCAAAACCCTGCACCACAACAAGTAGTACTCCTGCAGGCCGACTCACTTCGAGGTGATGAAATACTCGTAACACTCAACTGCAAGTACGGCAAATCACCAACAACAGGCATTGCTACATGCGCCGCGAGAACAAAGACATACGTGGTCATTGTGCAATGCTGCAGCTTTAGCTTGGCTGCAGGAATGCTACCAGAGCGGTTGCGGCCTGAGCTGAAGGCTGAACCAGTTCGGAAAACCCCTGAAACAATGGTGAGCGTTCAACTTTCACCAAATCAAAAGTTGGGTTAGACGCAGTCTTGGCTAAAGGAGAGTGGCTATTTAACCAAACTGAATCTAATACGAGAGCAGCTTTTGATTTGCATTGGCCTTTTAGATAAGCATGTCAGTAGCTCAGTCTGACTTCCTTTTTACGAACGCGCACCACACCCTTTACAGAGGAAGATGTTTAAGGCTGCATTCTTTTATTCCATTTATATTAAAGCCAATCTGATGCACTTCCTGAGGCTAATTTACTTTACGGATATTTATGCTGTCCGGCTTAAATAAACTCCCTTTGTTTCTGCAGAAATCCCACGATGATTCTGATTCATCTTTTCGCAACTTGCATTAAAACCTCCCGCTTTCCTCGTTGGTCTATCCATTTGGTTTAGGTTTTAGAAAGCCGTCACCCTCCCGTCCTTGCTCGGGGGTTCTGTAAAACAAACACACTGCCTCACTGTCTCCGTTTGGACTGCTGGCACACAAAACCAGCTCTGTTCAGCTTCAGCGCAGCATGTCTGCCCTGCAGGTCCAGTCGTGCAACCTCTAACACACACCAACGCTTGTGCTGACTGGGCTGGCTTCTCATTTCATTTCAAACCCAGAGGCAAATATGAACAATAAGCTGAGGATGTCAAGGATTTAACATTTTAAAAAAAAAGTGCTATCGCTGTGACAAAAATGTCCAAATTTGACTTGTTAATCTTTATTATCATCACCTCCAGTTGTGTTACTTCATTACAAAACATAATGTTAACCCCCTCCCCCACTGATGAGAGACATGCCGGCTCATGATGGGAATGAAAGCTCAAGCCCTGTCCACACGTAGCCGGGGATCTGCCAAATCGTAGATATTTTTCTACGTTTTGGCCTGTCGTCCACACCAAAATGGAGTTTTTTCACACGAAAACGGATCTTTTTAAAAACTCCGGCCAAAGTGAAGATCTGCGTTTTCTCCGTTTTGGGTGTCTGCGTGTGGACGGACAAAACCGGAGTTTTAAGGTCCGCAACGTCACTTTCCGCGACAAAAAAATGCTGACGTCACGTGTGTGACCTGTGTTTACACTAGCCGACAGCATGGATGCCCTCAGAGCTGCGCTCGCTTTATCAATTGTCCAAGCGCTTTTTACTTGTTTGTTTTTGCAAGCGGAATTACTGCTCCTTGTGGAAGACCACAGACGAAGGACGAGGTTAAGAACGGGGGAAGTACTGCTGCCTACAGGTCTGGCATGTCCTTAACACTTAAATTTGATGCTCACATCAATTCTGTGATCCGGTCCAGTTTCTTTCACCTGAGACGCCTTGCTAAAATCAAGCATATGCGGTCGAGAGCCCACCTGGAGCGGGTACTGCATGCCTTTGTTATTTCTCGGCTTGACTACTGCAACTCTCTATATGCAGGGTTGTGTCAGTCAACACTGCGTCGCCTACAGGTTGTGCAGAACAGCGCTGCCAGGTTCCTGACTGGGACCAGGAAACGGGACCACATCAGTCCGGTTCTGGCCTCTCTGCACTGGCTTCCGATTTGCTATCGCACACAATTCAAAATCCTCGTCTTTGTTTATCATTTCTTCCAGGGTGGTGGTCCCCCCTATCTGGCCACTCTCCTGAACAAACATTCCCCATCACGTGCTCTGCGCTCCTCTGACCAAGGCCTGCTCGCTGTCCCTCGGTCTAGGTGTCGTACCCGTGGGGACCGGGCTTTCTCAGTCCTAGCACCGTTACTCTGGAACCAGTTGCCACCCTCAGTTAGGCTGTCCCCTTCTCTGCCAGTCTTTAAGAATCACCTAAAAACACACCTCCTCCGCTTGGCGTTTCCAGAACATGTTTGATTTTGGCCCTCTTTTATGTTGAATCCATTCCACAGTTTTCATTGGTTCACTCAATCCAAATGTGTTTCACACATTTGTCCTTTACCAGAATGTTTCATCTATCTTGTAATTTCCATTTTGTATTTTGTAATTTGAATTTCTTTTATTGTTGATTTATTCAATATATTTACATACAACTGTACCATGTTCAGCGATTTGGGCTTCATGACAGGGCTGCGGAAGGCGCTTTATAAATAAAGCTTTGATTGATTGATTAACAACGTATTTATCCGGGTACGTGTGGACAGATTTTTTTTAAACAAGGTGGTGTGGATGCAAGTTTTTGGAGGGGCGGATATTCGTTTTCAAAAAACCCCGGCTACGTGTGGACTAGGCCTCAAACTCAACTCATACCATTTCAAATCTCCAATGAGATTGCAACAATGAGTGGTTTTAAAGTCTCATTGTGAAATTATTTGTGGCAAAACAGTAAACAAACACAGGATCATTCTTGTTATGTTCATGATGCCCGTGCAATGTTTGTGGTCCTCTTCATGCTGGGAGTAGGTTTTATTTTCCACATTTTTCTTTCACCACATCTGACATCATTCTTAGTCTTTGCATCATGACCTACAACTAACCAGCTGGTGGTGAAGCCTGGGTCCAATGCATACCCCAAGCTGTCACATCTTTGTGTTTGTACCTAATAATAACCTTTTGTGTGACTGCATCACGACCACTGCTGTGCTAAACAAGGCAGGGCTTTTGTGCAGAACATCAGATATTAGGCCCTGTCCACACGTAGCCGGGGATCTGCCAAAACGTAGATATTTTTCTACGTTTTGGCCTGTCATCCACACGAAAACGGAGCTTTTTAAAAACTCCGGCCAAAGTGAAGATCTGCGTTTTCTCCGTTTTGGGTGTCTGCGTGTGGACGGACAAAACCGGAGTTTTAAGGTCCGCAACGTCACTTTCCGCGACAAAAAAATGCTGACATCACGTGTGCGACCTGTGTTTACACTAGCTGACAGCATGGATGCCCTCAGAGCATCGCTCGCTTTATCAATTGTCCAAGCGCTTTTTGCTTGTTTGTTTTTGCAAGCGGAATTACTGCTCCTTGCGGAAGACCACAGACGAAGGACGAGGTTAAGAACGGGGGAAGTACTGCTGCCTACAGGTCTGGCATGTCCTTAACAACGTATTTATCCGGGTACGTGTGGACAGAGTTTTTTTTTAAACGAGGTGATGTGGATGCAAGTTTTTGGAGGGGTGGATATTTGTTTTTTTTTTTTAAAACGGCTACGTGTGGACTAGGCTTTAGTCACAATCAGGCAAGGGGTCAGGAAGGCGGTTTACGGATAAATGTGATTATAAATTATATTTTCAGCACATATGATGGCCACAGAGGGTTCAAACAGCCTGTTCTCAGTAAACAATAATTTTTCTGTTTGTTTATGAGTGCAAATGTATTATATTGCCCTAATCGGATGTTTAGGGCAATAATTTATACTTGATTAAAGTAACAACATTTCTATAAGAGGTTCTACTTTTCATTTTTTGAAATTATACTTAAGAAAAGCACATTCTTTTTTTTATTTAAATAAATCTATAGCTCATATCTGGCAGGCTGAAATGCACCTCCAGCTTAAAACTTAAGTTAAAACCTTATCAGAAATGTCAGGAGTAGCTTTTGTATAACATTCGATCCATCTTTTTAATTATTATATTGAGTTAGGGCTGGGCGATATGGCCTAAAATCAATATCACGATATATTGAGGATTTCACCTCGATAACACTATATGGATGATAACTACAGATATGCGCAGAAAAAAAAGTTGTCCACTAGATGGGGCTGTCACATGGATTACGTTGAGTCACGTTTTTACACGACTCAGGTGGTACAGCTTCTTAAAGGTACATGAACGTTGCCAACCTACACACATCTTTTCACTGTTTTATCCTCACATTTATTGACATGGGGAAAATTATCTCGATAAGAGTCACAAATTTCGATAATGATCAATTTTCTATTCATCGCCCAGCCCTAGGTTGTGTTGCAAGAAAAACACATTTTGTTGACCACATTTTTATTCTAAATAGTAAACAAAAATGATTGTGTGCAGTTACAAATCAGGCTTTCAGACTAGTTGAAATAATCCTGGAGTTAGTTTTTATTAACCAGGAAGGATTCAGTCATTATATATATATATATATATATATATATATATATATATATATATATATATATATATATATATATATATATATAATGGCTGGATGATATAGAAAAAACTATAAATATCAATAATTATTGAAAACTATATGGAAAATGTAGAAAATATATTTTAAGTGCAGCCCTGGCCATTGTATGTGATTACTTCATGATAAAACCAGTTGGTTGCGTTATCAGACTTGTTTTTTATTGTTTTTATCGATTCTCTGCAAATTTTGCAAACCACTGTTTATTGTCAGACTTGTAAGAATGAAAATATTGCCACACCGGTTAACTCCTGTAACCTTTTTTGGGACAATTTCTTCTTCCTCTCATTGCTACAACCTCTTGTTTGAGTCACATTGCTGTCTCTTTAGGTTTGTGAGGGGAGGGCTTGGTGACGAAGCATGCTTGGGTCAGTGTTTTTTCATTGGTTGAGTGTGAGGAATGACTAGTACGAAGCTACCCGATAGGCTATAATGGAAAAAGTAAACTTTTTATTGATCCTTTTTTTCCCTACTGAACCACATGTCTATCGATCAATAAATATTGTTATTGAATTATTGTCCAGCCCTAATAAATTACACTGCTCACAAGAATTAAAGGAACACTTTTTATATTGGGCCTGGCATGAAATCAATTAACCCTGTCTGATAATTTCCTGGTTGATTAAGCAGCTGAGGGCATTGTTAATCACTTTCAGCTGTATTGGTGTTCATGGACTTAATGGCAGGTGCATTAAAGTGGCAACAATTACAAAACACTCAAAACAGGACTGGTTTAACGTGTAGAGGTCATTTCAAGTTTCTCCCTCGTGATCTTTTTCGGCTGGTTTTCCACTCGTGCTAGTTTTGGCTCTCTACTGGCAGTATGAGGCGATTCCTTAACCCTACAGAAGTTGCACAGGTTGTCCAACTTCTCCAGGATGGCACATCCACACGTGCTGCAGCAAGAAGGTTTAATGTGTCTCCCAGCACAATCTCCAGAACATGGAGATTTCAGGAGACTGGCGGTTATTCTCGGAGAGCTGGACAGGGCCGTAGAAGGTCCACAACCCATCAGCAGGACCGATACCTGCTCCTTTGTGCAAGGCGGAACAGGCTGAGCACTGCTCGTGCCCTACAGAATGACCTCCAGAGGGCCACTGGTGTGAATGTCTCTACCCAAACAATCAGGAACAGACTTCATGAAGATGGCCTGAGGGCCCGACGTCCTGTAGTGGGCCCTGTGCTCACTGCCCAGCACCGTAGAGCTCGACTGGCATTTGCTCAAGATCACCAGAATTGGCAAGTCCGCCACTGGCGCCCCGTACTTTTTACAGACGAGAGCAGGTTCACCCTGAGCACCTGTGACAGACGTGAAAGAGTCTGGAGAAGACAAGGAGAATGTAATGCTGCCTGCAACGTCGTTCAACATGACAGGTTTGGTGGTGGTTCAGTGATGGTCTGGGGAGGCATACCCATGGAGGGACGCACAGACCTCTAAATGGTGCTCTGACTGCCATAAGGTATCAAGATGAAATCCTTGAACCCTTTGTCAGAACCTACGCTGATGCAGTAGGTCCTGGTTGTCTCCTAATGCACGACAATGACCGGCCTCCTGTGGCAAGAGTATGCAGGCAGTACCTGGAGGATGAAGGAATTGAAACAATTGAATGGCCTTCACGATCCCCTGACTTAAACCCAATAGAACATCTGTGGGACATTATGTTTCGGTCCATTAGGCGGTGCCAGGTTGCTCCTCAGACTGTACAAGAGCTCAGGGACGCCCTCACACAGATCTGGGAGGAAATGCCACAAGACACCATCCATTGTCTCATTGTTGCCCCGACGTTGTCAAGCATGCACACAAGCTCGTGGGGGGCACACACGATACTGAAAAGCTATTTGAGTTGCAGAAATTAAGTTTTTGACATAATGGACTAGCCTGCCACATCTTCGTTTCACTCCGATTTTAGGGTGTCTACGCAACTGAGCCCTCTGTAGGCTGATAACTTTTATTTCCATTAAAAGACTTGGCACCCTTTTGTTCCTTAGACATTGCCCTGTCATTATTTGTATAGATATCCAACTTCATATCGAGATCTGATGTATCTAATGTGTTTCTTTAAAGTGTTCCTTTAATTTTTGAGAGCAGTGTATATATATATATATATATATATATATATATATATATATATATATACACCCTCTCCTATGGTCATGAGTTTTGGGTAGTGACAGACAGAATGAGATCGCGGATACAAGCGGCCGAAATGAGTTTTCTCCGAAGAGTGGCTGGGCTCTCCCTTAGAGATAGGGTGAGAAGCTCGGCCATTCGGGAGGGGCTCGGATTAGACCCGCTCCACATCGAGAGGAGCCAGTTGAGGTGGCTCGGGCATCTGGTCAGGATGCCTCCTGGACGCCTCCCTGGTGAGGTTTTCCGGGCACGTCCAACCAGGAGGAGACCTAAAGGTAGACCCAGGACACGGTGGAGGGACTATGTCTCTCA